GCAGACAGATTATCATCCAGAGATTCTTGCTGGGTTTTTCACAGATTGATAGGCTTTCCTTGTTTGTTTTTGAAATAGTTTTGACTGTGTGAGTCAAAATGGAGGGTGCAGTAAAACAGAAACCATTACCTAGTCCTTGTGATTTTCACTTGCTGCTGTCTAGGTCTCTTCCTTAGCAGTGTCACTCTGTTGTCTCCTTTTGTTTGCAGGGTCAAAGACCAAGTATTTTATTAAGCTATCAGTGTTGTTTGAATTTAAACAGGAGAGAAAACCAAAACCAACAAAAAACCCCAAACCAAACAATGAAGAGCAAGAGTAGGATTCATGTGCACAAAGTCCTGTGTGTGTAAGAGACTTGCACCATGTTGCAGAGAGACGCTTGCATGCAGCTCTTGTAGTGCACTCAGAAATAATTCCCAAGCATGCTAAGACTTCAGCAGTTGTCTTTCTGACTTGAATCACCGGTACTGCTGCTGTTCAGCTGGGAGTTGGCACACAGTTCTGGCACTGATATGTTGATAAAAGTGGAAGATTGACTTTGCTATGATGTAAATATTATTGTCTATTTATTTGCCCTTGAAAATGGTATAAATACTTTGTTACTGTGTAATGAAGTATGAATTACTGCAATGAGTTATCTGTAATATTAAATTAGTCTCAGTACAGTTTAAAAGCCACTGCTACGTTATCCTTCTTTACAGTTTGTGAAGGCTGGAAACAAAGTTCACAGCTTTGGAAAGAGGGAACAAGCTATCAGGAGGAATCCCAATGTTCCTGTTATTGTAAGAGGCTGGCTACACAAACAGGTAGGCACGTAATCATCTGTTTCTGTTTATATACTTCAACACAATCATCAAGCAAAAGTAAGTGCTTTCCAAGTAACTGAAAAACCAGAAGCTTAAAAGTTGGTGATGCAGGGCAGTGCTGGGGACTCCCACAAGTTTCTGTAATGAGGGACTTGAGCTTAGCAAGTGTGAAAACCAAGTTTTATGTATAGGTTTGATTCAGAAGTGGAAACGATGATAAACAGACATCACTATCATGGTTAAATGTTGAGGCTATAACATTGTCTAAATCTGGTTATTTTTCTAGTTTTTTATGGTTGCCATATGATAAAACATCCTGCTGGCTTGCTCAGGTCTCCCTCAGAACACACTATAAACCTGAGGTTGGCTGTGAAGGCCTTTTTCCATCTGCTTGCTTATTCCCTTATACCCTGATCAGAGGCTTAATTCCAACCCATATGCCTTTTGTTCTCCAGAAGCAGGAGGGAGAAAATGGAGACAGGAACCCATTCACCACATATTGCCATCACCAAGCCCAGTGTCCAAGCAAAGGCTGGATTATAGGATTTCATCCAACAAACAGAATTATAGAGCTGCTGCGTCTTGAACTCTTAAGCTGACAGGAGCACATCCTTGAGTGCAAAAAGTAAATAAAGCTGTTTGTTGTATGATACTTCCCTGCTTCTAATTTGGCAGTCAGCATCCATTAGATTATCACCAGAGATCCAGCAGCTAGGTTTAGGGATGAGTAGGAGAAGGTTGAAATCTAAGGCTTACAATTATGATTCTACGTATGCAGGAAAGTGAAACTACTGACAGCCATCCTCTTCCTCCTGCATGGAGAGCTGTGTTCTGCTACCAACTCTGTTGACATCCGCTACCCAAGTCCATTGACTTTAGGACAGAATCAGAACTGAGACACAGTATGTGTCAAGAGTCTTGTAGCATGAAAAAGGAAAGGGAAGAAAATCCTTGCATACTTAGTATGACTTCAGAAAGGAGGAGGGAAATAGTATATACAATATTCCTCTAGCTATTTCCTTCTGTCCTCTTACCTCTACTTGCAAGCACTTACAGCCTGAGGATGCTCTCTGTGCTGCTGGTCTCATCAGAGCCTACCTCAGCTGAGTAACTTGTACTTGCTTAGGTTACAGTCTGGCAATTTTATGGGCTTCTAAAATAAATTTTAATGTAAATGTTATTCATATTGACAAGGTGATATATATATATCTCCACAGGCATGTTATATTATACTTCATTAAAATTTGCACATTATGCCCCCTGTTTTATTTCCTACAGAATATTTGATTAAATTACATTTTAAGCATGGATAACATATGGGATATCGACTGTAGAATTATAGGGGATCATTGTCTGAAATGTGAGGTCATACTTTACAGCTGTGTAGTGATTTTCATCTTGGTCTACAGGCAATCCTTGTTGGAGTTTGTGCCATCCAGATGCATACTTAGTTTCTTTATTGACGATAAAGCTGTCTAGATTTGCACTGGTTGTGTACAAGGTTAATCTGAATGCTGTTTGGATGTGAGTTTAATTACTTAATGAAAATTAGCAGTTTGAATATTTTACCCTGATTATTTTATAGCTGGATGTTTTCCCTCTTATCTTTCTTAGTACATAATATTTTGCTAAAATATAAACCACTTGTTTTTGCAATTAATTCCATATTTAGGTAAACTTCTGGCAAACTACTCACTGGTACAGTATTACTGTTAACTTTCCTTAAATGAAAAGTGTATCACATTTCTTGTATTTCAGGATAGCTCTGGAATGCGATTATGGAAAAGACGATGGTTTGTGCTTGCTGATTATTGTTTGTTTTACTACAAAGGTGGGTAGATACTAGCTCTTTTGAGTTAGTCTGTAACAGTTCACCTGTTCAAATCACACTGCAAGCATAAACTAATTGAATTCTTCAGATATAGCTAGACATTTTGAGAAGCATACTGAGACAGTTACTTATCAAACTGAGACAGTTACTTATCCATATGTCTTTAATGCGCAGCAAATTTCAGGCCAGAGTTGGGGAACAAGGGGGTCCTGTATGATCTTTTGTCACATAATTTACCTTTGATCTATGCCAAGGTTTATATTGCAAAACATTTGGCAGCCATACCAGTGTAAGATTGATCCAGTCTCTGGTCTGTGTTGTGTTACCTGCTTTCTTGTGCTTAAACAGCTGATTTTTTGAGAATACACTAGGGCCAAATCAGGGCATTGATTCAGCTTTAATCCAAGAGACAATGAAAGAGTGAGAACTTCAAATCCAGTAATTGTACCAAAAAAGGTTAATGTGATTTTAGATTGAACTAGGAATAATGGTATAACATAAGGTTATGCTGAAGTTCTGAATATTGTGTAGCATGTCACAATTTTTGGAAAACATTACAGAATATGAAACTTGAATTCTTATTTCTAGTCACTGCATTTCTACTGCTGATCACTTTAGAGCCAGCAGTAATAGAGTTTTCCTAATTATAGCAATTATAGATGCAGAATGCTAAATGGAAGGTCCGTCATGTTATACAGCCTGTCAGAGTTCATTTGTCACAATAAGCTTTATTCTTGAAGTATATTTTTCTGTCTGAAGTTAAAAAAATCAACTGCCCTCCCCCCAAAAATGCTAAACTGTTGGGGTGGGGGTTTTGTTTGTTTGTTTGTTTGTTTGTTTGTTTGTTTTTAAATCAATCCTGATTTTTAAAAAATAAAACTTTTTTCTCCATGTATTATTGGTATTGAGTCATAAAAAGATGCAGGTCAGAAGGGACTTAAGGAAGTGTCTAGTCCAACCACCTGATGAAAGCAGGGTCAGGAAGGAAGTCAGTCCAGGTTGCTCAAGGCTTAATCTAGGCAGGAACTGGAAACCTGCAAGGATGGAGATGGCTCAGCCTCCCTGGTCGGCCTGTTCCGCTGCTGCTCTGTGCTCATGGGGAAAATTCTTTTCCTTATATCCAGTGTGAACTACTCTTCTTTCTACTTAATGCCTGCGTTTTGTATGTCCATAAAGGAGAATTATTGTTATCCCACTGAAAAGTGTAGTGGATTAGATTCTATCTTTGTGTTTTGTTTTTTTTTTCATTCAACAGACAGCAGAGAAGAATCTGTTCTGGGTAGCATACCACTGCCTAGTTATGTAATATCTCCAGTTGGACCTGAAGATCGCATAAATCGCAAATTTTCTTTTAAGGTACAGTTACAAAGCTTATTAGCTAATCATATTTTTAAATGTTTATTTCCATAAGAAAAGCTGCTGTTATAAACAGAAGCTTTTTTTTTTTAAAGTAGACAGGTTTATTGACTGCTCATTCAATTATGACGTAGCACTTTTTTGTTGTAAGTGTCTTTAGGGATTAATAATTTGTCTGTGAATAAAGATCCTGTTTCTAAAATCAGAAATCAGACTTGTTAAGTTGTTCCAGTACTGTTTACAAATTGAAATAAAAGTTTTCTGTTTTTTTCTTTATAGGGTACTTGATCTCCTAGTGGTCTGTTGGTTGTTTAGTTTTAGTTTTGCTGTGTTTTTTTAAAAATAAAGCAATCAACTCAGTTCTCACAGTTAGAAAATGACAACACTGTAGATTTTAATTTCCTAATGTCAAGGGGAAAAAGGGTAACCAATTTTTTTTCTCATTTTGGGGGGAGGGGAGCAATGGTTGTCCTAAGTGACATGGACTTTGTTAAAGAAAAAATATTCTTGTTTGATGTAGTTTGAGGTTGGTTTTGGTTTTTTTCTTTTTTTTGAAAAAAAAAAAAAGTATAATTTACAGTTCTATTATTTGTTATAAAAACCTACAAAAACTATTCATTCTTGACAGTGGAAAAACCTGACTTCAGTTGATGGTCTGAGCTATAGCACTAAGGCAAAGTTTAGAAACTTTAGTGCATGTTGCAGATTTAAATTCTACCAATACTTGGAGCAGAATCTGTTTTTCTATCAAGCAAATGATTTATCTACTTTAAAAAAATAAATTTAGAAATCAGGTTTCGATCAGTTATACTTTAGGAGATCTAGAAGGAAACTTTCTGTTTAAATCTTTTCTGTGTTTAAATTACAAAGAACATTTGCTCAGCTTAGACTTTCCCATTTTGATTTTTGAGGCATTTTAAAATTGGAAACTGCCTTTTATTGGTTTCGGTTCTATTTTCAAGTGTATAAAAGTTTGAAATTTATTGAACAAACATTAACTTGGGAAATGTGTTTAAAAAAGACCAAGTGCACTTTGTGGATATGTTTATTGTACTTGTTCAAATGCACTGAACATGAGATAGCAGGACAAGCTACAAAGGAACCTTTGTTTAAGAAAAAACATTTAGTGAGTGTAATTCATAAAGCCCTCCTCTTCTAGAGCCTTCTTCTAGGAAGAAGCACATACTGAAAGAGGAGACCCAATGTATTTCTAGGCTTCTGGTTCTCTTGAATAACTATTAGTGCGGTCTGGGGAAGGAGATAAAGTAGCAATAGTATCGAGTTGCTTTAGAGTTTAAAAAAAAAAAAAGTGCTTTTAATTTAATTGAAAGGGTGTTTGTAACTGTTAATTGAATGTATATTAGCACTGTTAATGAGTTTAATGCTATCAGTGATAGGGCGGGGGAAACCCCTGTGTGTATACATACACATGTAGTTACCAAGCAGTGTGTTCTATAGGCCAGATCTTAAGTTACCACTGCCAAGTTGTGTCTGTCCTTTCCTGTGGAGTAGAATTCATGGTGTGATCATGGTTAAACATTTTCAGAAGCAAATGCTGACTTCCCCTGTTCCTTTTAGGACATCATACTTACATGATCTCTACCAAGTCTTTAATCTGTGTCTTTTCCTGAAAATCATCATGAGCCAGTAACTTGAGACTTTCAACATAGGGTCATTACTAAAAAGTTGATGTAGAAACAGGGATTTGATAGCAAAAGGAACTTTATACTAGAAATCTATATTAAAAAATGAACAACATATATTTGATGTATCAATTTGTTGTGCTGATCTTAAGTTCTCTTTAGGTGTTTGATGATTGACTGCAGACTTGATGCTGCAGTTTCATTTTATTTAGAACCAACTTCTAAGGCAGCAGGAGGATTTTCCAAGATTCCTGTTTCATGAACCCCATCCAGCACTGATGTTCAGTGGTCACAGTCAGCACACAGTGACCAGAGCACGGCCATACTGGCATTCCATCACTCAGCAGCCATTACCTTTATCTAATCTCTTCAGTACTCTTCGATATCCAGAGCATAGATGGACATTCTGTCTCATGACGTAGTGCAGCCAGAAATAGAAAACACAAGCAGATTAAACTCAAAATAAATATAAAACTTTTTTGCCTTTAAGTCCTGAATGAGCGGGAGAATGTGCCATGTCACTTTTTACATTTGGCCTGTCATTTACTCAGATTGTTACAGTAGAAGTATTGGCTCCCATTTTAAGTGGCTGTTTTAAATAACTGACTTTTTGAAGTTAGGGAAGCAGTCAAACTGTGAAAAATTTCAGCATTTTGGTTTGTAAAACTAAAGGAAGGAAATCTACTTAGCAAATACCTGGATGCTTTTTGCATATGAGTTAGAAGGAGGTTTGTAAAATTCATGCTCACTAGGATATATATAAACCCTGTTTACATGTACATCATAGGTGTTCTCAAAATTCTTTTCCTTTCATCATCCCCTGAGGCCCGGCTTTAAGCTTTTGTGTCCCTTTGGGTGTTTAACAATTACAGGCCTGCAGGACTGCATACAGTCTGTTTAAATGCAATCAGAAACCTCCTTTGAAGTGTAACAGTATGTATGTTAAATTGTTTTGTTTAGAAACTCTGCTTTTAAGTTTTTATCGTGATGAATTTTTCACACTATTTATTTGTCCCAAGCAGAGTGCTGTGGCTAGTTGTAAACTGCTGTCATTAACTTGTGTGACAGCATTTTAGAACTCAGGATCCTTGCTGCATATTTTGTTTGGTAGCTAACATCTTAAAGATATTTAATCTAATTTGTGTATTTTTTAACACAGTAATTTTTTTGCTGGCACAAATATGAGGGAACGTAAATCCTATGTATGGATTTTAATATGAAAAAGCACAACATTAATATATAGCTGGAATTGACTGTACTTTTTAGTAATAAGATCTTTTTAAACATGAATAGTATCAATTTATGAAGGTTCATGTCATCACTGTCTCTTTAGAAGCCTCATTGTCCTCAATCATGAAAACTATTTTTAATTGATCTTATATGTGTTAAAATATATGAGAGAATACTGAAATTAAACTTATATCAATCTGACAGTAATATAAATTGAGAAACTTGGAAGGCTACCAACATTTGCTGTAAAGAAAATGACAAAACTTCACACAAAGACAATGTATGCAAGTTTGTGTTTGTATTTAGGTGCATATCTTGCTACCAAATAAAGTCAATGAAGGATGTTCTGATGTTCTGGTAAGAGGTAGGAATTAGTGTTGGTGATACAAATTGCTCCTTTTTATTTTGATACTACCTTTTACATGTTTTCAGAGATACAGCCTTTCAGCATGAGTGCATTCAGAGCCTAGGAAGCCAGGCCAAATTATTACTTCCAGAAGATGCTACTGCAGCTTGTTTTTAAACATCTTTTCATTATTAACGTTCTAAGATCTACTAATGGAAGCATCTGTTCATTGTGTAGACCTGCTGGGACCAGGGCAAACTTCTTAATCTCTTTATTTGGTCTCATGGTTTTCCTAAAACTTTTGACATAGTTTGTTCTTTTATGTTCTCTGAATCGTTGTTGCTTCCTTGGGCTCCTGTATTGCTTACAAAACTTCTCTGGATCTGGGGAGTTAGGTGAAGAAATGTCAAGGGCCATGAATTTAAGAGGTGCCAGTTTAGAATTTGGAAGAGGAAAGGTTCTAGAAGTCCTGAAAAAGCTCAGTATTATTTGAGAGTAGAAGATGAATTAGATTGTAGTGTGCTGTTGTTGTGTTCATAGTGAAGGCTCAGAGTATTAATATTTCCATTTTTGTTTATAAATGGTTCACAAATCTTGAACTTCAGGAGAAGGGAGAATTTCCTCTGTGTTATAGCCTATTGAGAGGGCTAACAATTTTTTACAATTTTTAGAAAATTTTTAGAAAACTGATCCCCTCCTCACCCCTTTGTCCTATGAACTGTGGCGGCTTCTCTCCTAGGACTTTTGAATTATCGGAGGTGAACATAACAGCTCTAGGCATTAGTTACTTTTAGTATAGTCTTTTGTTAAGTATTTTCTTTGGAAACATGAATTTTTTCATGATTTTAACTTGTTTAACTTTTTGTCCTTGTCTTGTCCTATTGATATGCTCTTGGGGTTTACTGTCCATTTCTCCTTCTGTGCATTATGGGAGAGAGACTGCTTTTCTTCTCAATCTATCCACATTAAGGCATCTGAATGCATGAATAGGTACCAGTATTATTTTTTCCCTGTTGTGTGTATGGTGTACATGTGCTCATGTGCTGTGTTTTAGGCTTTTTAGTATGCTGTAGTCATCCTAATAGCTATTGCTTTAAAAAAACCCAAACCAACCAAACAAAAAAACCCCGCTAGCTTCTGTGTCTTCTAGCAGTGACAGCTACAGGACATTGGCACAAAGTGGCTTTCTTGCATATAAACCACACTACTAATAAAGAACTGAAATATATTTAAATTTTCCTTTAACCAGTTTTATATATTATAAACTTCAGAGTGTCACGTTTGTTGACAATAACACACCATCTCCATTATCCCTTCTGAAGCTATGAATGTTTACGGCTGGGATTGCTTCAGTCTCTCAAGGGAGAATGGTGCAACATACTCTGCATTTTTATACTGTTTTGACCTACAGCCTCTTAGGCAATGCTTTCAGCTGTGTTCATCGTGTGCTGCTGAAAGAGAACCTGAAAGGCAAATGGGTTATGCTAATCGGTATGTACAAGTCAATTCAGACAGACTGCTGTTAAATCCATTTATTAACGTGGGATGTGGTCTCTGCAGTTAGTTACCAAAGGTTCTGTTTTTTTTCAGCAAGTATATAACCAGTGAATGGTAGGGTCCTACTGTGTCATCACAACAGGGCATATGTAGTCTGCTTTTATGGAGGGGTCACTTCACTTCTGAATTCCAGCATCATCATCTATGTCTCAATGTGGTCTGTGAAGGAGCCCTGCAGTCATAAGTCTAGTGTTAAAATCACTGTTTCCCTTTACACCTGGAGCTGCCAATTTTTGCTCTCTTCTTAGACTGGATGCTAACCATAAATTGCAATGAATTGAATGCTTCTAAATCCTATTTGTTTGACCATTTGTAATGGTCTCAAAATGACAAAAAAACCTAAACCACCTCAATAACAACAAAGAAAACCCAAACCCAAAGAACTCAACCAGGGAAACATGAAAAAAAATCCTTTGATTCCTAAATACCCAATTGATCAGAGCTACTGTTTCATGTCTGTAAGTCCTGTTATCCTGTGTTAAGGTAGGCAGCTAATGGTGGGGAGGGAGAAACTACCCTGTGTTCCCTTATTGGCCAAGTGCTGTTGGGAAGCAGAGACTCTTTTGAGGAGGAGAGGGTCTTGGACTTCTCCACATCACCCTTTCCTCCTCTTCGTTCTCCTCCTTTTCTTAGCAGGCTGTTGTGCTGCAGTCTCAGCCTTTCCACTGCAGGTGTGATGGCAGGCCAGGGACTGACCCCAGTGGGGACACTATTACCACTGTTTTCAAAATGAACTGAAGCTTCCTTGCTTGAGCCGCAGAAGGGAAAGGCCACCTTTCATACATTTATAAGAACAGGTTGCAATAGAAAGAGAGTAAATTTTCCACAAAACATAAAGCAAGCAAATATTTTGCTTTTCGGAGTTGTTGATACAAGTCTCTAAAGTTATGGTAATTTGGGTAATTCAGGGTAAATGAAATTACAACATTTAGGGAGGCCTGCACTGGATTAAATAGCCTGGGTTTTGTCAAAACTTACTGTTTCTGAAGCCATCTGTGAAGGTAGAGTAGGGTTTTTTCTTTAATTTGGAATAATGAGGGGGAGAGGATTTCATCAAAATAAAAAGACCAGTCCTTTAGGGAATATTTGTGAAATATGTTTAACCTTTAAAAGAAGGTATATCCAAATTAAAAAGTTGAGATAATTTTTTTCCTTTTAAAAAAAATCCTGTCTTAGTGGTGTTTGATACCTTTAGTTTTTGTGTGTGATAACAGGTTTAGTTTTATAAAAAACAGTTTAAATTATTATTTTTTAAAAAATATCATTACACGAGCTTTCAAGCCAAGTATACTGTCTTCAGGTTTTTGGAAAGTAAGAAAATTAGCCTCTCCCTACTAATCTGAAACATATCTGTAAAGTAGCTGAGGAAATATAGTCAAGTGTTTCAGGACTGATATGCCTTAATAATACCTATACTATTACTTATACAAATGTGAATGAGATTTGATTAAATTCAACTAGCCTAGAGTTACATTCCATATTGAGTACATTTGAATATTGAATATATTTGTAGAGGAATTTCCAAATACCTCTACTTTGCACTGTAATTTCATGGAGTATTTTGGTGTGCAGAGGTACTTGTCAGTATTTTATGTGCTGTGATAATTCCATCAGTATTACTAACTCTATCAGTAAGTCTTGTGATTTTTGCAGCTAATACAGAGGTTCAAGTGCACACTTTAACCAAAAGATCATAACATGCATTATAACGACTTCTTAAATAAGCAGCTTAATTGCTTGAATTGTAAGATTTTCGTCTGTGTTTTGTCTGAATAAATTGCTTTATTAAACGAGCTGGGAAAATTGGCTTGCTTGTGCATGTTCCTGAGAATTTATTTAATTTGTTTTGTATGGTATTTATGGAAAATGAAAAGTGTCAGTCAAAAGAAAATAAAAAGCTGAAATTTCCTAACTGTCAAAAACAGAAGAGCTGCACTTTTAATAGTGCAAGAAAGAGAGAGAGGAATTTTAGTGAAAATCAGTTTGTTGCACTATAATCCATTGTGGCAACATAATAACTTTACCCAAAATTAAAGAAATGGTCAAAAAATCTGGAAGGATGTTTTTTTAAAGATATCAGGAAAAGTAACAGCAAATTTTCTGGGGGAAAAGATGAAAGGGTTGTCTGACTTTTTTTCCCCCCTTCTCCTTACAGGCTGTTCATACAGGTATGCGGGCATATATTTATAATAAGAATTCTGTTATTGGCTCTCAGGCAGAGCATTCAGGGATGCGGACATACTACTTCAGTGCAGATACCCAAGAGGATATGAATGGCTGGATCCGGGCTATGAATCAAGCTGCTCTTATGCAAACACGCTCTTCACTGAAGAGGCAAGTTCAATACTGAAACTGTTAGCTTTTAAAATTTTTTAAAATTGGTGATGATTTCTGAAAATGATATCTGTAAACGTGTGCATGAAACTCATTCCCATTTTAAATAAATAGTTATTTTAATATTACATTCTATAGCAAATCAGTTAACATTAAGAAAACCTGTTGTTCAGTATTTGCATCTACACACAAATTGTGTGCCCACATTTAGTCACATGGATTTATTTATATATATATATATATATAAAAAATTTTTTAGGAAAATTCAGTTAAAAAGTTATAGTTTTTGTGAACAAATTCATATATTACAACAACTAGTTGACAGCCTTAAGGAGAGATAAGTAAAAGGGAAAAGACAGAAGATTTTGTTTTGTTTTATTTTTTTTTTTACTTCGGTGGCCTTTAGTACTTGTAGGCATTTTTTATGTGTAGAAAAAAAGCACTTTTACAAAGGAGCATGTCCTTTGTCCCATTGTTCTTAATCAGTGCTAAAGGCAAACAAATTCATCTGTGCCTTCATGTGCTTTTCCCTTTTCTTAAATTTATGGTAGCCTCCTTGACATTTTGACTATGCAATGTGATTTTTTTTTTTCCCCTACAACTCCTTGTGAAAGAAGACTGTACTGTGACAACCCTGCTCTGAATTAACCCTTGCGGCTGTGAGGATTAGAACGTCATGGTGCAGTTTCTCAAGTGTATCTCACAGTACTGCTTGCTTTTGGAAAATCATATAAAAGCAAAGGTTTAACATCTCATCGACAGCTTTGCATCCTATATGATTTTATGTTAAGATTTTCTGGATCTAATTTAAATTTCAAGTAACATGTAACCTGTTACTTGTTTTTTCCTTTATCTTTTGTATAAGGATAGGAATAACTGAATGAAACATTGCAGAAGTCTGGCATGTTAAAAGTATTGATCCCATGTCTTTCCTCCTAGTAGACTATTCATTTTGAGACACTAAATAGGCTGAAGTGAAAACAATTGTTTCATTGCACTTACTCAGAACTCACCTTCCATAAAGCTTCAAAGAAGCTGAACTTAATTTCAGAGAAAATGAGGTGCCACTCTGACATCAATGATACTCCATTGAATTGTAAGAGAAAAAATGATGTCCAGAAGCTATCACTATAAGGAGATGAACAAAACTGCAAATGAAGTACGTTATGTGTCAAAAGCAACATAAAATTTTTTGGATCCTTAGATATTTTATTGTGTGTTGTAAGTTTAATATGAAGATTTCTGGTATGGACTTTTTAAAAATATTTAGTCAATAAGGTAAATAAATTCATGTGCATGTATTAGGAGCAATGGAGGGGTTTTTTTGTTTTATTTTTGCGGGAATAGCCCATAGGTTAGAAATCCTGTGGACAATGGTCGTACTGACTTGAATGTAAATTATTTTTTTTTCCCTCTGTCCTCTTGCCCAGAAATGACTAGTTCCTAAGGCATCTACAAAGATATGAAAGACATTTTTGACTTTGAAATGATCATTTGCCTGTTTAGTTTTGGTTTTTTGGCTTTCAGTGTTTCCCAGGATAGGAAGATTTTCTTCTTTACAGTTGTTTGTACACAAGATTACGCAAGTTAAACACTTCTTTCATATAATATTAGAATTTTCAGTCACTGTTACACATGCATATAAATGACTTCTTCCTTGATAGCACTGTAAAGGTAACTTTTGTCTAACTGGGATAACAACTGAGTTATGCTGAGCATACATACCTATTTTAACATGTCAAATTTATCACAGCCTGGAGAAGGTGCTTTTGTGGGTATACTTTCTAAAATAGTAACAAGACCACATTAACTTTTTACAATTAAGCAGTGTTCATTACTGATGTATTTTCTTTCCAGAGAAACTGAGAAAGTGGATCAGCAAGCTGTTCCCCAAGTCAATCATGTGGATGCCTGTAAAGAGTGTGTGAGGACAGAGATTACAGATACAAAAGAAAGTCATCAAAAATCAGCTGAAATGCTTGGATATGATAAGCGTGAAGAGATCAGAAGAGAAAAAGAGGAGGAGGAGCGTTATATCCACAGAAAAGAAACTCTGGAAACTAAGAAGGGAAAGGCTAAGCATGCGTTAACAGAAGCTGATTCATTATTTCCAGACTTAACGAATGCATCGAGGTCCCAAGTAGCTCAGCCTCAGCCAGCTGAGAAAAATGGAACACTTCCTAGTTCATTAAGTATGAGTGCTGGCCTGGTGGAGCAGAATGGTACCAGCTCGTATAAAAGAGGGTTTGTTCCCAGAACAAATCCAGATAAACAGGTTCAAAGAAAAAGTAACATGGCTCAAGTGGAGCACTGGGTGAAAGTCCAAAAAGGAGATACAAAAAGGTTAGTAATAAGCCCATCTTTAAATAGACTGCCAAAAGGCATTTTGTTATATTAAAGGATTATGTGTATGAGTGATACATTTAGTGCAAATCAGAATTACAGAGACAATTTATAACAAAACTTACTTTCTCCTCCAGTGCAGAATGGTATTTTTCAGGTGTTTTTCTCAAGGGAAAGTCAATATGGGATTGGCTAATCAAATCCCTTTAATGTTGTCACTGTATTAACCACTGTGAATGCTTAAAATTTCTTAAAATTTGCTACAACTGAAGAGCCAGAAAGTGAAGTGCAGCCATCAGTTATCTCTTAAACAGCTACACTCTATAAATCATAGATTATTGTTTGTTTTCCACTTAAAAGTAAAGAATGTTTTGTTTTGTTTTTTTTCCACTCCCTTCTGTTCCTGTTCCAAACATCCATTCACTCTTCTCTACATCAGCTCACTGCACTCAAAGTCACAGTGTGTGCGTCATACATTGAAAGGTCTCTGTATATTCATTTAGTTAATGAAGAGGTCCTAGGATGTTCCCATGGTCTCCAGGATTCTCTTTTCCCTTTTCAGTCCCTGAAAATTATCTGATTCGTACCATTAAGTTGAATGCACACAGGAATGCTTTTGCAATTTGAAAATCTCATAATTGCATTACTTTCAAATTGTGCATTCAGATTAAGCATCAGCTGAAAAAATGCAGTGATGTATGTATGTGTCTGTTCAGAATGTCATCTTGTGGCAAGTAGTGGGAAAGACAGTTGAGCTCTATGCTGTGTGTGAGTATTTTTCATATATGGGTAACCTTCTGAATTAGTACCTTAGAAATCTGCTAAAATCTAATTATAATAAAGAACAACGGGGGACATAAGCATGTGGGCTTTAGGAGGGAGAAAATATATGGGGCATTTTTTTAATGCTTATTGAAGCTAACGTTTGTCACTTTGGATCATTAAGAAATGTAATGCTTGCTAATTCTGTTTGGAAGTCCATTCTTCTTCTCTCTTACCTTTGGAATTACCCTTAAAGAGGCTGTCATACTTCCTGATTTTATTTAACATTCTTCTAGACTGCTAGAGTCAGTTTACTTGCCTCTCTTTTTGCTTGGATATCAATCCATGCTTGTCGAGAGAATATGACTTTAATGAAAACAAATACTTGGTATGTTAGTTCTTCTTACACCCGCACATGTATTAGTCTAAAATAATACAGAAAACTATTGAACTAATTAGCCAGTGCTTAAGAAAACTTCTGTTGATGTTTTTCACATCAAAAGTATAGGCAGTGAACAGGCTTGACTGATAGCTAAATAAGTATTGTTTTCTTTCAAATTACTTTTTTCCAGTAAATTAACTTTAGGCATATATCAGGTATAGTGTTAAGACAGTGCTCTTGTAGCTGTCAACTTTTGTTCTAGATAAAACCAGCTACCTCAGCTGGAGCTGTTAAGTACTCAGTGAAGTGAAACTTCACAAGAGTCCAGCTGCAGTGATGTCACCAAAATCTACCTTTATATATAAATTTTCTTCTTACCTTAAGAACTTTCTTTACGTTCCATTTTAGCTCAGTTGACCTTGTTTTCTTTGTCTTCCCCTGACAAATGCCATTATATTCTCTGCATTCAGAAAAAAAAAAAGCATGTTACCTTCCCAAAGATTAATGGATTAATTTTTTTTAAATGGCACCTTCTCTCAACCTGCTGAGATCGTTGCAGTGCACTTAACTGATGGATGAAAGTCGCATGTGACTTGTGAAAACGGCATCTTAATTTCAGGATGTAGAAATATAGAGATGATAATTTGATTGACATTTAATTCAGATTTTAGTAAGTATTAGTGTACCGCTTAATTTCTTGATGCTCTGTGTTTACTGTTATCCCACTTGAAACATTAAAATAAAGAACCTCTGAGGATTTAGAAGCCTTTATAATTTTTGAACACAGAATGAGTACAGCTTTATTTGTTCCTGGCTCAGGTGTATGAAGATGCAGTGCCTGCCAGCAAGTTGATTATGACAAGAAAGAACTCTTTCAGCTAGAGGCTTCAGACAAATACAGCAGTTGTTTCTATAATTATTTGCAAGGATTGCACCTTTTATATAGATATTTGGATCTTTCAAATAGATATTTTACGTCCCATTTTTATAAAGCACTCAGAACGATTTGCTAACTAGTAAATGTTAGCTGTCAATTTGGAAATGCATCTCTCAGACAAGGAACTGCATTGCATTGCAGCTGCACTGCAGTTACATCCAATGTAATCATCTACCCCCCTCTGTTCTCAGGAGAGGGGAATACCTGCTTTGGTAAGGTTCATGCCAGCCTTTGAGAGAGACAGCTAGAGAATTGGATGAGGGTTTGAAAGGCAGCTTTCAGGAGACTTTGGTTTTAAGTAATTAAAGTTCAGGACCAGCAAACAGCAGCTGTCCAGAAATTACTAGTCTTTGATCTGATTCCAGTGCCTGGATAGACATAGTGAATGCATAATTGTAAAGAATCTGCTATTTTTAACACTTAAAAAAAATATATATATATATATATTAACCTGATAAATCTAAGTTTAATATTTCCCAACTAAATGCAGTCATGTTGAGGAATTTCCTTCCTTTCAAATACAGTGTTAAACATATCTTGTCATGCAGAACTTTCCATTCCTTCCTGATTTGCTTAAGGAAGAAACATTACTTGTCTTTGTTAGCTTCTGTGCATTCCCATGAATGGGCATAGTGTTTCCAATAATTATATTTGTTTTCTTTTGAACATTTATCTTCTCTTTTTACAGTATCTTCTGTGCAGTGGCTTCCCATTGCAGACCCTGAATGTTTTTCATTGCAAATAATCATCTAATATAGCGTCAGGCCATTTTTTCAGTCTTCAGTGTCTGCTTTCCTTTTTATATTCTTCATAGCTCATCATTCAAGAAAGGGAGATTCTCAAGAACAGCTGCTTTTGCTCATTTTTACTCTTGGTCTCTGAGAAAACAATTGTCCACAGTCGATTGTGGATTAATTTGTGTCATTCAGGACATTGTTCCTTTCCTGTTACAGAATTTGGTATGTCATCAGTGCCTATTTTTATATCCTGGAAATTATTTTTAAGGGTCTGAAACCTTGTGTGGTAGAGATGCCACCTGCTTAAAGCCTGTCATCTTAGCTGGAGGTTTCTCCATGTACTGAGAAAATGCAACCTGCCTGTATGTAGACAGCGCCTCAAGTTCAGCTTTGAAAATGACTTTCCCTGTGCAATGTAACACACACACAACTTTATTCTTTTTTTCTAGCCAGCTGAAGTATTGCATGAAGCCTGCACTTCCCAGCTACTCAAAGTACTGCTTTCATCCAAACTGGTTTTAGTTCCTCTCAGACAAATTAATCCTTTTCTAGAAGAAAGGTGTGATTTTATTTTTCCTCTCCCCAGATCTCATGGGGTCTTTGTTTTGAGACTGGTTTTGCTCCTAAAGCTGCTAGCCCTGAGTAACTTCGTTGACTACCATTAATTCCTCCTGATCTCAATACTTTACCCTTTCATGTCCAATTAGAAAACACAACATTCAATAGTTTGCAGATGCCTTCACGAGGACTCCACTAGTTTGGAGTATAGGAATGGTGAAGCCCCCTTCCCTGTTTTTTCACAGAGGAAACACCAAAATGATCTGTCCTAGCTTCATGTCTGTCTCAGATGTCCTTTTGAAACATTACCTGCTCTAAGCTTTCTCAGTTCTCATTCCTATCCAGAGAAAATACGTCTCTACCAACCGTTTTTTCATGTGGAAAGAATTGGCAGTACAGTACAGAACATAGAGGACATGATGCAGTGAGCTAGACAAATAAAAGAGGTTACTTGACCACTGAATGCTGAACTTGGGAGTTGCCTCTGTTGATACTGCCTGCCTGCTTTAACCTTCATTGTGAAATTCGAGGTAACATCAACATTCTGTGGTGTGAGAGAGCAGAGCTTTTACAAATTTGTAATCCTCCATGCAGCTCAGGGCAGTTAATTCTGTTTTCTGGCAAGAGGAATTATGTGTCCTCTCAAGAGCATCCATATTTCAAGACAGCCCAACAGTGCCAAATCCTGCAAGCAGAAGGAGATGGAGGCAACTACTGAGCAGGAGTTACTGGTAGCAGTTCTTTTCCCCCTGCTTCTGCTATTCTTGGATGATGAACAAAAATGTTTCTTCCCACCCTGCCCTTTCTTTCATGTGGAATTCCTGCCGTTGCCACACCATCAGGTCTCCCTCTCGTGCTGAGAGTGGAGCCTACTGAGTGATGAACATGCTTTGAGTTTCTTCGTTTGTGTTGTTTTGTTGTTTTGATTTATTTTTTGTATTGTTGCTCTGTTAACAAGTCTAGCAGAATGGGTTTCTGTTTTGAGATCCTGAATCAATGGACAAATGATTGCAAGTACACAACGCCCCGGTGTTTAACTGGGGAATCAGAAATTAAGGCAGGAGAGGGATCTAACTACACTTTGTGAAAGCTTTTGCCGATTCTGTCTTAACTCTCTATCTACTAAAAGATTTAATTTCGATAGTTTAAGTGTATTATGGATGCAATAGTAAGCGAGGTTGTAATGCCTCTTTTTATATTCTGGTTTGTCAGTGAGTTTTGTTGCAAAAACCCTTGTGGTGTTTAGAAAAGTAGAACCAGCAGCATTAGGTCAGATGAAAGTAAAACATACAGACATGGGGACTTTGAGCAGTTTCTTACCTTTTTTTTTGCTTCATTCACATAAACAGAAATTGTCTGAGATACTCATTCAGTGATTGGTGAGATTTCTTGCACATTAAGGTAATTTTTTATGAGCCTACATTTGTTGTTCGTAAACTGCTCCACCTAGTGGTGAGCAGGCTTTCAGGAAAAAAATATTTTAATTCACAGATTTGCTCTTTAAACATGACAATAATTCCTTCCTTCATGTTCTTGAAGTTCTTTTTGGTCTAAATACACAATGATGCTGTCCCTTAAGTTTATTTCTAGTAGGTCATCCTAGGTTAGACACTAAATTAACTTAAAAGCCTGTATTTATACTGTTTGCATCTTTGCATTAATATGGTGTAATGTTTTTTGTGCAAGGTAGATTTCATTAATATTACTTTGTTACTATTTCTGTAAATTAGACTTTAAATGATTCTGGTATCTTGTATCTTGTAGTTCCTATGCTAACGTCAGTAGAGAATTTTTTTTTTAAAGTCATTCCTACTTATCAATGTATGCAAAAATTTACCCTTTTTTCTCCCTTCCTTTACAGCCTCACTTCTGATCAGACTCTTACACGTCAGGGTCCCAATCTACCTTTTCCTGAAAACTATCACACTTTGCCAAAGAATACCAGGCAGCCTTCAGGGAGCTCACCACCACCACCAAACCGCAATTTGCCAAGTGACTACAAATATGCACAAGATCGTGTTAGCCACTTGAAGATGTCCCAGGAGGAAAGGAAAGCAAATAAGGATGGAACTGTTTGGCAGCTGTATGAGTGGCAGCAGAGACAGCAATTTAAACATGGCAGCCCTACTGCCCCACTTTATGTAGGTTCTTCAGACTTTATTGATCGTGGTAAGTCGAAAAGTTCATTAGACGTTCCACGGTCAATATCTGTTCCACCCTCTCCATCTGATATTCCTCCACCTGGACCTCCAAAAAGCTTTCCCCCAAGGAGACCACATACTCCTGCAGAGAGGCTTACAGTTAAACCATCTGACGAGAGACAAACTGTAGATGTTCCTTTGGCTGGATCACCCAGGAAGATACGAAATCATGCTGTAAAGGTTTGTATACAGTATAACTGATTTCAGACTATTCTACATGTGGTGTCATACATCGATCATTTAATTTAGCCATTTCTCATTGCATCCTTCCTACGTATGAAAGATCGTACAAGTTGTAAAAGTTGATAGAGTGAATCATTTTCTCCTAAAATTCTATCTGATCATTTCAGATTTATTAATTTTTGTTGGTTAGGAAAGGAAAATTGGTGGCACATCATGTTGATTTGAAATACTTTTATTTAAAAACTGGAAGGCATATGTTTACATGTATACAATAAACAAAGTGTAATATTTTAATGTATAGAGTAGGTAGGCAAGAATATAAAACTCAGCAGGATGAACTCTTCCTTGATTATTTACTTATGCTTGAGAATTCAGTGTTGGCTGTGTCTGCTTTCTCTACATGTTTTGCTATTGTAGTTAGTCTTACAGCTGATTCAGTTACTATGTTTTTAGTCATAACTAAAAATTTTTCATGCTAGTTTAAAAAATTAATTAAAATAATTAAATTAATTAAAAATTTTTCGTGATAGTTTAAGCCTTTTGAAAATTCATTATCACTGGACTAACCAAAATCAAATAGTATTGGTCTGAAACTTCAACCTTCTGCAGAATTTCAGCGTGGGGCTTTTTTGTAAGCACTGTTGTACCCTCTTATCCAGAGGTGACACAGGTTTCCCTATTGAGTAACTCCACATGGCTCTCCTTGCCTAAGCAAATTAGGGAGATACAGGGTTGAATCAATGTAGAATTTACTTGTCTTAGTAGCTCTTACACTGGAAGCGAAAGCCTCTGTATTCACCTAATTCTTTGGCCTCAACCATGGGCCCTGGTGGGGAGAGTATTTGCAAAGAATAGATTTATAAATTCAGATACCCAGCGTGAGTTCAGGACCATGACTTTAGGTTGCATGCCAGTTTCATGCGGTTTAGATTTTTTTTTTTTTCCTGGTGTATATGTGGTGTAGTTGTCAGGTGTCTTTCAGTATTTATAGACTTATAATATTCTGTCAGAGGATGAAATAATCTGGTGATGTGCAGCACTGGAAATTAATATTTTTTTAAACTCCTGATTATATTGTACCAGACATTGGTTTCTCTATATGTAAGTTGAAGGAGCATTACATCCCTTCCAAAGGAATGTCCAGCAGCCTTTTCCCTTCCTGTGCAATGTAGGTACATAAATTTTACTCATGAAATAAAACTCTTTTTATGTCATACTGATTTTACCAATATAGGGAAATACAGTTTTCCTCCTCTGTAAAACTTTTCTGTGAAACTTCTGTAAAAGTTTCTGGAGGGAAATGCTCATGGTTTTATATGTCAGCACACAGCACCATTTTACATTCAAATGTATATGTCTACAGAAATCTGTGATAATCCCCCATCCCTGGAATGCTTTATTAAATTCCTTCCAGTTACACTTAAAAAAAGAAAAAAGAAGCAGCTGAACAAGACAGCACTTAGTGAAATTCAGACAAGAATAAAAATAAAATAAATTTAGGTTGCCTCGAAGAAAGAAGAAAGCCATAAAAGTTTGGCATTAAGAGAAAGGTGAAAGAATGGATGTGCAGTAGGTTTTCATATTATAAGCAGAAAGGGGCAGATCAAATATGATTATTTAAAACAACCCGGTATTAATGGAATCCATTGCCACAAGGTGTCACTCACGTCAGTGTTAGTGTTCCCTGGCTGAAAGAGGCCATTCACAGTTGTTACTGTCTGGAGTACAAGCTGCTCTCGGAGCGTGTAAGCCAACCAGCCTTTCTCTGGGAAACATTAGGTGGGGGGAACTTGATGAATATTTTTTTAAGATGCTGGAAGCCACTTTGCCTCTTCTGCCGAAGCATCTTGTGCTGCCAGAATCCGCTGATCTGCCCAGCATCACAAGTGCTAAACTTGCATTTGTTCATTCCTGAGTTTTACTTAATCATGAAAGGATCTGGCTGGCCCGTGAACGTTACCCTGATCTAAGCATGCCGTGAATCCAAATAGAAAATTTGTGGCAGAGGTGGATATCTTGCCTCAAGCACAACATACCTCTCACTTGAGACAACCCTTACAATTCTGGCTGTGGCTTCTTACAGAGCTCAACTCACATCGATCGACGCTCTATGCCTGCTATGGGCTACATGACGCATACTGTGAGTGCACCCAGTTTGCATGGCAAGTCGGTAAGTTGAGAGAGCAGTTACTTTTCTTTGGTGTCATCATAGTATTGTAGTTACGTTTTAAAATCCTGCTTATTCCACGGTAGTTGTATTTTTATTAGTTAAAACATAAATAACTTGAATGAGAACTTGATCTTAACCAGCTCCTAGTAAAACCTGTAGGAATTTTGCTGTTATCTGCAACATGAACACAGGTGAGCTGTCTGTTATTAGAGGATTCAGCTTTTATTATGTTTATTTGACCAAATGCAGAGTTAATGAAATAATTGCTTAATCATGTCAAGTAACTGCTTTCTGGGCACTGAGGTGAAAAATGTAATTACAGTTACTCTCCCTGAAGACTGCTAATTTCCTCTTTACAATGTGTCTAAATACCTGCAGCCTGAAGAGCTAACATTGCTTCTCATTCGATTAAGGAGACATCAGGCTAAGTTGGCTAGTATACGAAATTACACAATCGCACAATTACTGCAGCACTTGCCAACTAATTCCACCTATCAGGTCAGCTGCTGCGTGGCTCATCTGTGCCGTATGACATTTTGTGACTCTGCAAATGCTTCGTTAGTGGCATGCTTGAGTCTGTGCTTTCTTGCCCATTCTTTGGTATTCTACAATTCCCAGGTTGTTTGCGTTTTTTCTTTGCTACTGTATTTGCTATAAAAGATGAGCATTTTAAGTTACAGGGCACCGTGCATATGTTTCAAAGTTTTATGTATACTTCCTTTTTATACTATTTCTGAAAATGCTGCATCTTCAGAAATGTGGGTTAAAATATTAGATAAGTTCATTCTAAAGCAAAACCATTTTTGTGCTGCTTTCATGACTGGATTGGCTCCCTGTGCCACATGCTGCGTCACCTGCAAATTGAAATGCATCAGCCAGTTTGTACGTTCATCTGAGCTTGTAACTGTGTCAGTTCTGCAGGTGAATGGGGGTTCATAAAAGCTCAGGGGCACCTTGGATCATCAACAGTGCTCTTGATTGCACTGATGTATGAAACCTGTAAATGTGAGATCAAACTGAAATGTGGTTGCAGAGCTCTTTGGTTCATATTAGAGCCTCAAAAATGAAGCCACCTGGCAATAAAATGTGGTGACTCTTCTTGGAATTGGTGAAGGCTTTATATTGACCCAAAAGTAAAGGAATTTTTTGTAACTTGGAAAAGTTTAATTTCCTAACTTACCTCACCTACAGAACAATTGCACTAAGATGGGTGATAGTAAAAGGGATTACTCCAAAAATGGGCAGACTTTCTAGTTGAGTCCTCAGTCAGACTTACAAGCTGATCAGACAAGAATTGTAAGTGAACACCTCTAAAGAAATGCAAGTGTGATCTATTGATTTTATGGCATAAAGGTGTTTTTTTAACTACACATTCTCATTGGCTCAAAACTTGAGAAAAGATATAGTTGTGTTTTTCTTTTGTTCTGAAATTTAATGTACCCAGGATATAAAATCCTGTTCAAATAGTATTAAAAATTCTAGGAATTTGGGGGCATTTTGTCTGACTACAAAGCACATTTGCAACAGTTAAACTTTATTTTGTTCTGTATTGCAAATACCTCTTCTGAAAAAAAGGAGAAGTAACTTTGTTATGACTGCTGTGCATGCTTTTCATGAAGTGACTGTAATGAAGATGTTGCTAAGTGAATGTAACTATAAAATTAAGCTGATAGCAATTACAGGTGAGCCAATGAAAAATAAGGATCGGATTGAATGCTGTTACTTAAAAGACAAAATGGATTCTCTAATCATATAAGTGAGATCTTTTTCAGTATTTTATTCCCAAAACTTATTTCATACTTTCCCTGAATAAAGAAATTCATATCTTAAAATGTGTATGAAATGGGACCAAAAGTATTCTAATGATTTGTTATGGTTACATCTGTTATCTAGTTACATCTAACATTCAGTTAGGTACAAGTCTTTTCTTCTCCCAAAGAGACATATTTGCTAGAGGTCAACACTATAACTTTTTCAGTGAAGGGATAGTCAGTAGAAATTGGTCTTGCAAAAATAACTTCTGAAAACCTATTGTTTCAGTTACATGTCTCATGGAAAACTCACATCTCTGTGATTGGAGGGTGGGCACGAGGTACTAATATTCTTGGGAAATATTTTGCCCATTTTTCAGCTGTAAATAGCAATATGCTGGTGGAGCAAGTGTGCTTTTTTATGTACTTCCTACTCTGTTTTTCGTTTCTGGTTTCATCCATTTTCTTATATAACCAATCCAAGTATTCTGAAATTGTTTCAAACGTTCAAATACATTGCATTGCTTTTTTCCCTATGTACTTACCTGAAGGCGGATGACACTTATATCCAGTTGAAAAAGGATTTGGAGTATTTGGATCTAAAGGTAAGATTTTTTTTTTTTTTTTTTAAGGAGTCTACTTCCATTGTTTTTTTTGTTTTGTTTTTTTTTTTTTTTTAACCCAGTGGTCTTTCATATATCATCTTTGTACTTACAGGTTTTCAAATTCTGTTCAGAGATGGAAACTATGTCTTTTGCCATCACTGTTGTGCTTAGAATATTGAGTGTCTTTATAGTAGTGACTATACAATTAAAGTGCAAACTCAGAAAATGTAATTGCTTCAGCTTCTAGGAAGAACTTGTGTTACTGGTACTCCGGATGAATGATATTATGTGGGTTTAGTGAAATCAGAGAAAAAAAACTAATTCAAAATGTTTGCCTGCTGTAGTATTAGAACCAGTATTAAGTCAGCTCCTCAAAGTTAAAACAGGGTGTTCTTTTAATCCAGCTTTTTCCCTTTAAATCTTCTTGATCTGACTTTTTCCTTGTTTTTATCATATGCTGTATTTATAGTGTCTTGCTTTCTTCTGAAAATGTGGTGATTAATTAGCACCTATCATTTTTGTCATATTATTGGAGCTTAGAGATTTCCAATGCACCCATTCATCCATAGATATAATCTGCCTATGTGATATTTTTCTTTCAAAAAAAAAAAAAAAAATCTTATTAAGAGCAGGTTTTGAAGGAAAAAAAAAAAAACAAACAACCCACAACCAAAAAATATGATCATTCTGCTTAGCAAAGTGGTCTACCACTTTCTGTGGTGTATAGGATATCTCACCGTCTATAAAACTTATGGTGTGGAGTGAAATTTGACACCTTGTTATCCTTAGTGTTTGCATGTACATAGTTCTCACTGATGCCGTGGGGTGTTGAACCTATTAGTATGCATATTTCATTTTATCTTATGTTTTAATGGCTGAATATATAACCAAATATATCAATGGAAAATACTAATCATCCATATTACACTTATGTATAGTGTCATATATATATAAAGATAGAATATTTATCACATAATATATGTGGTATATATAGTTTAAATAATCAAATATGTAAATTGTTGCAATTATTAATACACAAATATAAAATTAGTTGGGCAAATGTCACTTTAGGCCTTTTGCTTGGTTTGTTCATGACTTTGCCAAATGTAACTGCATCCCAAGCCTTCAGCTGAATTTTATGACAAATTTCAATTTTAAAAGTCCTACAATTTGAGAAATTATTAATAAACAGAATGTTTTGTCCATTATAAACCAACCATTTTCACAGTTAAAAGTAGCCCCAGTTTAAGCCCCTGAAAATGTTTCATGCTTAGCAAAATTAAGATGTGTTTTTAACTTCGTAGTGGATTCCATCTGGATTGATTTGTTGCAATGTGGGACATGAAGAGCTATTTGGTCTTCCAGGAGCTCCCCTTGTGCCTTCCTGCAGCCTGTGTAGCACCTGATGAAAGCAACCAGAAAGAGAAATGTTTGGGGGCACCTGATCTTTCTGTGAAAAGAAACTTAATGTTAGCGTTAGTTCCCTTCTTGTGAAAATCTTGACAGTAAAAATGTCAAGTGTGTTTCCATAAGAATGATGTAATTTCTCAAAATGGGCATTTCTTAATAACCTTCCTTCAGTAGTGGTCTGGAAATGTAAAAATTCAGGTCAGATTGTTGAGAGATTAAAGAGACCATGGTGAAACTCGAGAAGGTGTCTTTGTACTGGTTAAATTTCTGCTTTGTCACTAAACGTAGAGATGCTTTGTTTTGGAGTGTGAGGAAAAATAGAATAGAGCGCTGGATGAACTAAGTAAATTACATATTGAGTTGCTAATGGTGCAATATGGCAAATTCACAGTTAATATACTTGGTACCTTTCATTTAAGACACTGATGACTTAGCTAGAAAGTCTGTTAATCCAGATCTCTCTCTTTACTTCATTGGGCTTTAAGATAGACCCACTCTAATTAAACAGTTTCATATAGGACCAAAGATTACAGAACTGGAGTTAAACTTTTTTCTTTTCACTAAATCCATTATTTCTGAAGATCTTTCTTCTTAGAGGTTTCAAAATACAGTTTTTCAACATGGAATAACGATCAAGCAATTAATAAAAATGGCATCATGCGTGCCATAGTACTAGAACTGATTACAGTAACTGGTTACACACCGTTTAGTAATTCATCATTACTGACATGTTTTGTCCCTCTCTTGCTCTTATCCTTTTATATGAGCCTATTTTTTATTATTTAAGAGTTTAAAAATATTACATAAGAAATAATTTTTATGTTAATACCAAGATTATATTGTTCAACATTACAGTGTATTGTCATAGCATAAGTATAAATTAAATAGAAAAGCTTTAGAGATATTAATCCATTTCAGTAGTTTTCCATGCGAGCTAGTTCTGACTTTAAAAAAAAAGTCTAAAGACTGTTTACTCACACTGTGAGGAAAAATTATTGATAATTTTGAACTTGCCAAATACCACACGTTGTGGAGGTTTCCTTTAACAATATTACCCTTAGATTATGAATTTTTTTTCCCACAAATTGTTCAAATGTATTCTTTTTTCACTCATGAAATAGAGGTATCTGGATCATGAAAGAAATAGTGTACGTGTACGCTATAGCATAACCATGCCTCTCTGGAAACAGGTTTCCACAGTTGTGTTTGCACAGTTTATTTTTTAATCTCTAAAGTAGGTAGACCCTGTATTAGAAAAGCAGACAGGAAGAGCAAAGAATATCTCAGTTTTCCCCACAAGCTTCTAAGATGACTTTGCAGATAAAGGGAAACACAAGTGATGAAGCCAGCTTCCCTTTTTGTGACTGTGAAATCAAGTTGTTGAAAGCTACAGGAGGAATGGACGGGCATTATATATGGCCAGAATACTTTGCTGACATTGCCAAACAGGTTATACAAAATACGGAGGAGGAAGTATAGGAAAGTTTGTGTCACTAGGTACGAATCGTGCAACCAGTTGAAGCAGGTCTGGGGCCCTCTGAGCGGTTCAGTAGTGGTCCTGCATTGTCCTCCTGCAGTCATACTGTAATATCTGAAGCTGTTTAGTTTCTGTTGCAGGTGAAAGAGGTTGCTAGTGTAAGCTTGTGCCACATAGATAACGAAGGAAAACAGTGAATAGCAGGTATTTGTTATGGGAGGAAGGGTAAGTGTGATTGAAATAACTTTTTTCACTGAGATTTTAACTAGGTTGCTCAAATTATCAGTATAGAGTTGTTGGTGCAAGCGTTACTACGTATTACGTGGCAGAAAATATCTTACTGGAATTCCCAACACTCTTGAAACTGCAGTTGGACAAGTCTGAGCAAAACCTGTTTTGTGTTGTGTATTTGTATGTATGTTTTGCAAAAGTAAAAAACTCTTAAGGTTGTATGAACAATCTACCCACAACATAACAAGATAGGTAGATATCTAGTTGTAGCTTCTGTAACGGCAGTTTATATAGACTGAAAACCTCAAGGATCAGTGTGATGTAAGAGCGTGGATTACTGCTGCTCATGGAGTTTTGCGTTGTAAGGTTTGGGGGTTTTAATTTTTACATCTGTAACAAGCTATTACTAAACTTTTGTTTGAAACAGATAGAAAATAATGGACCTCTGATCAACATGATATACAAAGTGCTAAAGAACTCAGCACAAGGGTTACTATCCAGTATACATGTAAGACTGCTTGCATCTGATATGCACTCATCCCATTGCTTTTTAAAATAGCAGTCAGTGTTTACGTATTCTGGCTTTTACAGGTGTCTTATGGTAAACAGTAAAGCTTTCTGCAAGACTGGTTTTTTTCTTTCCTTTTTTTTTTCCTTTCCATCTTCCACCCCTCCACCCCTCCATTTTGGAGTCTGTATGTGAAATTATGGCTGAACTCAGTGTTTGGTTTCATTTTATCATGTTTTGAAAATGATTGTGTCAAGTAGTGATTCCTATGTGTAATTTTGGAAAGTGAAAGCATGCTAAATCTTCATTATGTTCTCATATTCACTGCTTGATAATTAACAAATTCTTTACAGTTCTGATTATGTAATTTAAAATATCCTCAAAATGTGTAGACTCTGTTTTTTATGTTAATTGCACTGCTTTGAAAAAGGTTTTTGCATTCTCTTAGATTGCAGGTAATTAAATATGCAAAATTATTACTTTGACATGCTAGTATTTATGCTTATATTTAATTATTAGTTGTTATTAAGTAATCCAATTAATACTTTTGAAAGAAAGGATTTTTCTTATATAAAACACACCTTTGTTGAAAATATCCAAAAATCGAAAGTTTTGAGAGTCAGTAAACGCTTTTGATTTTAGTGGTGGGGAACATTTCATCACATGAAAACACATGATAAGTCTTTGAATGGAGTCTGCCGTTGGAGAAGATGGTAAACCTAAATGATGACCATATTCTACTGTCTTAAAACTACTTTGTTATTTGAAAATATTATGTATAGATGGCTAACTTCATGTAGCATGTTAGATGAGAAACTGAGATTGTATAAAAAATTTATCTACACTTACAGTAAAATTTAATTACTTTAAGAGAGCTGGCATGATCCTGTTTGTTAATTAAGTAAACTATGTAGCCTCAAGTCTGGAGATTGCCAGTCAGTAACAAAGCAAACTACCCCTTCTACCCCACTAAAAAAGCCAACAACTTCTGCTTTTACATTAAAACTGCTGCTCTTATATTATTAAATACAATATTTAGGTGCATTTTTATTCATTAATTCTCATCTTTATATGAATGGAAATATACTGAGTACTATACTTATAAACACCAGGTGTTTCTTTGGTAAGAGAGTATTTGCTTTAATGAATCCTTTAAAAGTGTTTTAATTTAGTAATACTGTCATTAGATTTTAAAGCTTTTAAAAACTCTATGATTAATCTCGTTTATTCACAAAAAGGGTCCCATGTAGACAGTGGAAATAATAAACTTTTCTGCAGAAATAGACATCCCTTCATTTTAAGATTGTTGTTAAGGTTGGAAGTATAAAATAGTATAGTTTCTGTACTGATTTAAAAACTGTGTTACATGAGAAGATAATCTTCTCACCAGAAATTGAATATGAAACCAGTGTTTTATGGAATGAGAGATTTGGTATACTATAAACATGTCAAAATAATTAAGTACTTTTAATTCCATTATAGCACTTTTATAGCAGTCTAATAAATTTCACCCTATACTATGGAAGACACTATCCTTTGTAAAATGAAATAGTTGCAAAAAAGTTGTATTTTCAGTCATTAATTAATGCTGCTATTCTTGCAGCCAGACATTTAAAGGAACTTCCAAGTCTTTGGCTTCAAGAAAGCCATTAAAGCTGAACTGTTAAAACTGCTAGGTTCTGCAGGAACAGAACTTTTGTAACCATAGACAGGTGGGATTATACTCTTTTGTACAGAATTTTAAGCTACTGTAAAAGTTATTAAATAGCCTCATAAGCCTACTAATCCTTTCTGATAACATTTTTATAAAACTGAAGTCATATTTAGAAAGACTTGTATCCAAAATTTTACTCATCGTTGTTAATAAACGTGAATATTTAACAAAACTTTTCAGTGTTGAAGCATAATTACGTTTTAGTTTGCAACAAATTTCTCAGATGTTAAACTTGTTCCTCTTAGGTGACAGGACGTGACACGTTAAAAGAACGAAGTACAAAACCTGTCAAGATTGCAGAAAGTGATACTGATGTAAGTATCAAATACCACTTCAGAACCTCTTACATTATTCCATTCATGTTGTACTGTTATGTGTTCATATTTTTATGCTCTTTAGGGCAAAATATTGCGAGTGGAGACTTTTCTGCTTGGTTTTTAAAATCTAACATTATTTATATGATTTCATTTTCAGGTCAAGCTAAGCATTTTCTGTGAGCAGGACAGAATTCTGCAGGATTTGGAGGACAAAATAAGAGCCCTTAAGGAAAATAAAGTTAGTAAATTAAAAAGAGTTTTATGAAATAAATAACTTTAATCATAAAATATGGTATTGCAAACAAAAAAAAATTACAGGATGCTGCTTGCATTGTTGTCTTTGGACATGTGTATAAACTTACATAAGGAAAAGAAATTTTTTTTATGTTAGGTTTGAGTACCCACTTTTAGAAAACATGTTTTTAAAAATGAATGTTTTAAAGCCATATACATTTAATTTTCTGGCATTTATTACCAATTGGGGTACATACACTTTCTCTGTAGTTTTCTTTATGTCTTAATACGTATATGTTGGGAGACTGAGTCATGTTTCATTTGCAGTTATGCTCACTTGCACAAAAAATGTTTGCGTAAGTAGCAGTGTGCTACCATGTTGAGCTCACTCTGTGACTTGCGAGGTGTTTTGTTGTTTTGTTTGTTAAAGAAAAATGAGTGAGAGAAGGGAGAGCTTTTCAAATTAGTAATGATTTCAGAAATGTAAGCTGGTTTATATATAGTACTGTGAACTTAGTTCTGAGGGTTATGACTAAAGTGCTGAAATATTTTCTGTGACAAGTTTGTAGTTGGAACCCCCCCTCCTTTCTGCTGTGCCCATTCAAGTCAGAGTTCAAATAGTAACCAGTAACAAAATGGTTGGCCTTTCCTAGTCTTTCCTTCCTGTATGTATCTTTATCTGCTTCACTGCCTATGAGCTATAGCTGTCAACTAATTGAGGTGGTGCAGAAAAAAATCTGTTTTAAAATGAAAGTACTGTCCAGGTGGATTCTTCAGAAGAGCTACTGTGCAAAAATGACCCTGTGTTACTTAGCCTTATGGAATGAATTGGGCTTGCTTCATGTTTTAGACAGTATTTTAATTCCTCACATGGCTAATTCAACTATATCAGTGAACAAGAACCTATCCTTAATGCTGTGCTGTGGTAGGGCTGTCACAGTTCTGCACTGCTTAAGGGAATTTTTCTGAAAGTGTAAATTACAGGTTTTTACAGACTATAAATAGAAAAATTCCCTTCTCAGTGCTTTGTGTTTTCCACATTTGGTTACCTAATGGAAAGATTAAATGGAAAATATCAGATAATTTTGGTTATCATAGTTAATTAAGGCTCTTGCACTCTTTCATTTACATCTTAGTCTCCACAACAGGAGGCCAATCCTAACCTCTAGTGGCTTTGGAAAACAACTTCTATATTACTGCAGGTAGATCTGTAAAATTCCATGTAAATGTTGTAGTTTACTGCCATCTTCTTCTTTTTAGGACCAGCTGGAGTCTGTTTTAGAGGTTTTACACAGGCAGATGGAGCAATACAAAGACCAACCACAACATGTAGAAAAAATTTCTTATCAGCAGAGACTTTTGCAAGAGGATCTCATACATATTCGGGCTGAAATATCCAAAGTTTCAACAGTACGTGGTTTTGGTTGTTTCAAGAAAACCATAATTAAAACACCAGTTAAGAGTAAAACGGTATTGTTCATTAGATAGGGGAGTTAAGTCTTGTTCTGAACTGATTTGGTTAAGGTACAGGATACTAAGCCAGAACAAAAAAATGTAAACCGATCTCTCCATCTTTCCTATTCAATGCTTCCTTCCCACCTCCTCCCAAACAAAAGCTAAACCCCCTTTTTTATACCTTTTTCCATTTATATATGGGGCTTAAATTGCAAATCTTTCAGCTAATGCTTTGAAAATAGAAATGTGCTTCCATGGTATTTTTCCAGGGAAAAAGGAATTGAGAAAATCTGTTGATATTTAGTCAAAATTTACGGTTGCTATTATGACTTAATAAAATTCAAATGCAATTTCATGTTACATTTTTATTGATAAAATATTTCTAACAGTTGGCTATGAAACAGAGTATATTGAACCTGGGTGTTGTGGACTCACTATATTATTCCTACTTCTTAATGAATATGGGACTAGCTCTTCATAAGATTTTTTCTAGAATCGCATGAACACTTTTCCTAAACTAGGAGCTGATCATTAAAATACCAATGTTATTTAAATGTATATATGTAGTATCTTGTGCCTGTAGAAAATGTATGACTTCCACAGACAGCATTTAAACTTTAATTGGGGGTGTAAATAGCAAGTAATTGTAAGAATGGCTGTACTGGTCCAGTTCCAGGCTCCTTCTAGCCCAGGTTTCTGGCATCAGAAGTGGGCATAAGCCTGTTTTCTGCTTGGAGAATTCTTGAGATTGTTGGGGTTTTTTTTCTATCTAGTAATTCTCAGTAGATCTCATTTCCAAGAACCTATTCAGTCCACTCTTAAATTGTGTGAACCGTTTGCATCCAAAACATCATTTGTAAAGGTATTGCACAGACCTTTTTCCCACTGCATGGACAGCCACTTACTTTTATTTGTTTTGAGCATGACTTGTACATGTTTCGTGGATAGACCCTTACTCTTGTGTGAGAAAGGATGGGGAACAGTCAGTCATTATCTACTCTCTCCATGCCACTCGTGGTTTCAGAGACCTCCATTATTTCTTCCCCTCAACTCCCAAGTGATCTCTGTTCTCTACTTCAGAGAAAATGCCTGTTCCACCATTCCTTACGTAAAAATGCTCAAACAACTTGATTTTTCTTAGTTCTGAGTCAGAAGGCAGACTGTGATGCCATGGATGCTAGAAATAATCTAAGTCAAGTAAGGGTGACTGGATGGCCTTATTTTCCAGGTGTCTGCTTGTTTGTTCACTTCTAATACCATTACAGCACAGCCTGTAGATCTTTTAAAGGATAACCTGCTTTGTGTTTTAAAGCAAAAGTTCTGGTTCAGGTGACTGGATTTTAATTATAAACTTGTTTTAAGTAGAGAAGTAAAGTAAAAGGAAATGGAACTGGAATAGACTTGATTCCTTCATAGCATATTAGTCATAGTTCAGATTCTATCACATGCCAGTTTTATACTTAAATGGTTTTGTGTGAGGGAGCTGGCCAGAATTTTTTTAACTAGGAATTCCTGACTTGATCTTACAAGCTATTATAAAGCATTTTGAAGTTTATCATCAACTCTAAGCAAAAATGTAGACTACAAAATGGATTCTTTGCTTCTTTTCCTAATAGAACACCTCCATCTTAAAACCACTTCGGTGCTCAATTAGGGAATGGATAGAGTGATTTCAAAGTTTATTGTAATGTTGAATTAGCGTGTTCCCTCTGATAACAGGAAATGGAAAATGCCTGGAATGAATATCTGAAATTAGAAAAGGATGTGAGCCAGCTGAAAAAAGCCTTACAGGAACAGATGAATAGTTCATTGGTATCTCAGGTGAGTCCATTTCCAGACACTGCTTTACTTATGAGATGATTTTATCTGAACTTGAAACAATCATCTCATAAGAGAAATTCTCTGCAATTTTTGCACTGTATTCAACTGTCACATAGTTTGGTTTGCAAAGTTCAGGCCTTGTAACAGTATTGCTGTGCAGTAACTAGTTATATTGCAGCATGTGTAAAAGTTTCTCCTAAATTGTCTATGCAAATTCGTCATTATTTTATTATGTTTTTATTACATGCTGACATCTTGACACTGATAACGTATTTAATTTATAAGACTATGCAGGACTTCTTAGTCTTCCATTTATTTGATCTGACATTGTTGCTTCTTTATCCATTTTTAAGAACATCAGTCACTAGCTTGTTATTGTCATTACTTGTTCTTTGTCGTGTTCTTCTATTTATGGAAGATTTATCTCTGTAGATTGTTTTGTGAAGCAGAGTAAATGTTTAACAGGCATCAGTAATTGAAAGGCATCTTGGTTTTAAATCAGTTATTCAGTTTTGAATCTTACAAAGATTTGTTTGAAGCTAAATTATTCTGTTTGCTGAACTGGATGTGGCATACCGGATTATTTCTACTTACAACTGGTGATTTTATTCTTAGAGCAAGGAATACAGCTGTGTTTAAGCCGAACACATTTATTTAAAATACAAAATGCAAGGAACAAGGCTAACATATGGATTTTGCTCAGACCTTAGCATACTTTTCCAAATATCCTGGACCAAAAGAGCTCACCAAATTTATCATTTGCAATGAATATCTGATCAGATATGAATTGAAGTCTGACTTATTTTCACTATTAATGTATAAGTGTTTTGTATCAAAGCAAGAGTTGTAAAACTTCTTTAGATTGCATCTTCAAAGTCTATTTTAGTTTACTTTTAATTTTGGGAGGTGGAGGAGAGTGATTCAGTTTCTAGAGCCAGAATATTATGTAATTGAGTTCAGCTATAGAATACCCACCTCCTAAAATACCCCTAGGACTTCTGAATAAAATCATCCCTGTATGAAGTTATTTTGTTTAACAAAGAGAAATTATAGGTTTAAATAAAATATACTTTAAGTACTTTAACAAAGAATTGTCAGTTGTGCATTGAGTAAAATACTGGATGTATGGCATGTGATTCAACACATATAGAAGGGAATGCAGTTTGTACAGAAAAAATGTTAACTCGGTTTTATCATCTCATATCACATACATAATTATAAAAAATGCACATGCATGCACACACACACATGCATGCTATGTCTTTTGTGTGTGTATATTTACATATATATGTGTATATATATGTATGCATAGGTAAGCTTGGCTAAGACTTTAAAAAATGTTTCTGAATACCTATTTCAGGGATGCTAAGGGGACCTGATCTTTTCAGAAAGTACTGAATATTCTTAAAACTCACTTGAAGTATCCATACTAGTTAAGAGGGGTTTTTTTGATGTCTGCCCAAGGGTATGTAGATTCAAGACTGTTTATCTAGTATTTTCCAGTAGCACTAAATTAATACATGCTGTATTTTAAAAGATGCAGTTTTCATGGAATATTATTAAAAATTCAGTAAATTTGCAGGCTTCAGTTGCTGTATGAAGCAGCTACTGTTATTTCTATATGGCACTAGTTAAGAGGTTCAAACCTAAATGTTTCAAGCAGCTTGGTCAGAGTAAATCTTGCTCTTAAGAGTGTGTACCTTCATTGTCTTTTGCTTAAGGGTTGGAGAGATCTGGGCATGCTGAAATTAACTGAGATGTGGTATTTTATCAGTGATAACTTTTTAGTTGGTGTTTCTCCTGGTTTTATAAATCATTCTAAATTATGTTGCTGTGTGAAGGAAGTTAGAGAAATCGATTTATCTCTGCAAGTTACCTTTTCGTGCTTGCCCATAAAATATATTTATACCCTTTCGTAAACAGCAATCTTGGCATTCATAATTTAAAAATAAATTCATCTGTTTATCTTTTAGATCTATTCCATTTTTGATCTAACAAATTCTCTTCACATCAATATTTAAGTAATGGGAAGAAATAATATTAAAAGATCTCCTGACTTTTTGTACATTACTTATCGAGCAATTTCTCAGTGGTTTTAGAAGCAGGATTTTTTTGTACATGTGGGGTTTTTTTAACCAGTTCTGAGGCTTGATTATGGTAAATCCATCATTTGGTTCCTTGTAGTGTGATTAATCTCAGAAAAATGAAATGAAATGTGCAAATTTATAGTTTGTATCCTGACAGTCTTTCAAGATACATCCCATCTATCGAGTGAATTTGCTACGGGCAAATAACATTCTCCATCATTTAAATGTTTGTGTTCTTGGCACCCTGTTTGCTGATCTGTAACCTGGCTGAACATATTTTCTGATCTAAGACAGAAAGTGGAAAGCAATTTATATGCCTTCCTTAGCTCTATGAGGTGTAAAAGCTTTTACTGAAGTTTTTCTCTTTCAGGCTTATAGGATTAATTAACAGTTATTTTGTAGCTTATGGCAAGTGATGGGATTCTAGAGTTCTTGAGCAATTTGTAAGCAATTCTTAACTAAAGTGTTTCACTGCCTTCTGCTTTCTTTAATAAGAAAGTTTTCCTCTTGATTTTACTAAGTTTATTTGTAATGACAATTTCCAAGGACAGAATTACCAGGCTTTGATTTAGCAGATGAGAATAGCTATTTATGACAATTGCGTTGAACATCTGACTGAAGTCGTGGCTTCAGTAGCCAAGGCCTCTGGCTGCAAGATTCAGTAGAAGGTGGAGTTCACAGTGTAGACAAAGCTTCCCTTTCTTTCCTCCTGGAAAGCCTCTGCAAAGCACATAGGATGCAAGATGAGACCAAATCCTGGAACAGCAGCAATATATTGTTTTAGCCTATAATTCTTCATGTCTAGTAGGCCTAACCACCCAAATATAAGCAGAAATTAAATTTGTCAGCCCTTCTGAGTTAGCTTGGGGTTTATATTTCATCTATTAAAAGCCATTAGGAAGTTCATGGCAGTATTTGGGGAGGCAATACTAATTTTTTGCTTTTTTAATATTGGATTTTTCCCCTAAATGTATTAAGATGAGTTTTGCGTGGTTGAAGTTGCAGTCTTAAGTGTGTTAGTATAGGATTTAAGAACAAAGTTCAAATGAAAAAGGTTCTGTAAGCTCACTTTATGTAGAACATTAAACTAGGTTTTTGTAGCTTGAATAATATTGTAGACAAAAAAGTAGAGGTGTGTCTTTCCCCCAGTCTTCTATAGGAAGTCTTCCAAGACTCAGAAAATGCTCTAATAAATTTTATATGGGCAAGATATGTTGGTTTGGGGGTTTGTTTGTTTGTTTTTAAATTTTAAAATAATTATTTAAATAATGTCTAGACTCCTAGGTTTTCATGTAAGTTCTGAAATGTTAGTTTGGTTTTGGTATCAGAAGAAGCAGCAGCTCATAATAAATTAAAAATGAGATATAATTGATTTTTTTTTCTCTTTTTCTTTCACTACAAACATCAGGAGAAAACGCAAATACAGAAAGACTTGTGGAGAATTGAAGACGTTACAGCTGGTTTGAGTGCAAATAAAACGAACTACAAAACCATAGTAGACTCTATCAAGAATCCAGGTAAGGATAACATAATTAAAACTTAAAAAATATAGAAAGGCGGCTGAATCTTTGGGTCTGTGCAGATAGTCTAGAAGTTTGTTCTGCTGTAGAAAATCCACTTAATTCTGCTACAAGAGAATCTCTGTTGAATGAGCACATTAACTTGGTATTTCTTTGATTGAGGTGGCAAAAAGGTTTTTTGTTGTTTGTTTTCACATACTGACTGCACTAAAATGTAACAAGCCATAAAAAAGGGAACGATAAGAACAAGAATAATGGGCTAAGTTCTTCAAATTGATGAAGGAGTTTGTCACATGCCCGGCTCATACCACTGTAGTATCTATTCTGCATTCTGTCCAGGAGCTCCAGTCTGTGTTCTTCTCTGCCTTCCCCCACCTCCCCTCCCCTCCTTGGATGCTGCCCAACTGCCCTTGCTGCAGTTGCCTTCCCCCTCCCTCTTCAGGCAAGTGTTTCGTGGGCAGAGCAACAACATCAGCAATGGAAAGGAGTAAGGGAAAGTGTGTGTGGTCTGCATTTTAATAGCTTTATTATGTTTCAAAAAGACCTAATGCATTGGGATAGCAAGAGACTGTTAACGCCTACTGTAAATTCACTTTATATTTAAAGTATCTTTGCTTACCTTTTACATACAGAGATAAAATAGTTCTGAGATGGTGAGATCTTAAATAAAATAAGGCTATGAATGCTTAGCCTTGTCTAAATCTATAGGCATCTTAAGGAATCTGTGGCACAGGGCCAGATACAGCCCTATGTACTGATTTTGTATGACTCTCGGGCTTTTCCTTCCTTTCCTCCCACTGCCCTCTCCAAGGAATTTTACTGGATGATATGAAAGTGGGTGTTCTTATTTTTGGCCTGAAAGACTTGCTTGATCCTCATAAAAAAAATGTTTTTCAACTCTGCTATAATGTTACAATCAAACATTTTAATGTCCAAAAAAACCCCTGTTTGTATTCAAAGCAATGTGCAGTGTTAGGGCTGGTTTATGAAGTCTAAGGATGTTAATTGCTATTCTTATGAACATTATCAATAAGAAATAACATGTAATACATTTGCATTTTTTTTCCTCTAGAGAGAAAAATAGTGCCTTCATTTTCTCAGTCTCCAGTGCCTTCCTTACCAGCTTCCCTCACAACTGCGGAGGGCAAACTTTCAGTACCACAAAGCCCTCCTCCCAGTCCGGTTAAATCCCCTCTGGAGGTTAGGCTGTATCCACAGCCTTATTTCCAGGCCAGACTGCAGCACCAAGCACAGCAGCTGAAAAAAATCGAGCCACCTCTTCAGTCGCCCATTAAGCTCAAGCCAAAGGTTGTAAGTACTGCTCTTGTGAGATTCATTCACCAGTGTTTCCATTTCTGGCAGAAACAGTGACAGTTTCCTCGTTACAAAGTGCACCCAGTGTGGCGGCACAACAGGGGGACACTTAAGGTGTTTGTGTAGAAACTGCACAATAGCATGTACAGGAGAATACATGTGCATAACCTGGGGCTTTACATACAGTAGCCATATACTGGTTTAGAACATACCGACGAGCAGCCTTCCTTGCTTATGCTTTGTGGTTGATTAGTTATTTGCTTTCTTGGGGCTTGTTTAGTCTTTAAAGCCTCAAGCTCCTGGCTTGGACAGAGCAGAGCATGCTAAAGCAGTCACCAAAAACTCATATCACGTAATGAACTTTCAGTCAGTTTACGCCAGATTGTTTTCAGATTGTTTGCCAAATACTTGTGCTTTCCTGTTACCAGGAAGATGAAGCACCGCCCAGACCTCCTCTCCCTCAGTTGTACAGTCCTGATGATCAGCCACCAGCCGTCCCACCTCTCCCGAGAGAAGCCACTGTCATCAGACACACATCAGTGCGGGGCCTGAAACGGCAGTCAGATGAAAGAAAGAGAGACAGAGAATTTGGACAGTATGTGAATGGAGATTATAGGGTGAGTGCTCATACACCTATACACCTGCACTTTAAAGATATGTGAACCTATAATAAAAGATACTATTGTCTGTAAAATATAGACACCTCTAGGTCTTGTAATAAGGAAGATATAACAGCAGAGAGATAGTAATGGCAGGGAGAGATCCGTGTCGCATAATAATGAGAGAGATATAGTAATCCAGAAACAAAGCTTTAGGATTTGTTTTAAGATTGTTAAGACTTGCTGTCTGTGATTTCATTTGAGCTGATGAGTATTTTTCTATATAGGTGGAACTGCGCTCATACATGAGTGAACCAGAACTAGCAACAATAGGTGGTGACCTCAGCCAACCTTCCAGTGGTTTAATAAGCTCTGACAGTGGGTACCAGACATTACCTACCCGTGGTAAGCCAGGAATTTATGTAGCTGATTTTTAACAGTGCTGTCTGTATAGGAACTTCTCTCTCCTAGGATTTTCTGGAGATGGGTCTTTATCATATCATTATTTTTATATTAACTATAATGTGCTGTGAAAGTCTAGAGATTTTGTGCATTTTAATGGTGCCATTACAGACAACCAGCCTTTTGCAAAGCAACTTAATGCATAATGCTTTAAAAAAAGCATAGCAAAACATGAAATCTGCTATTAGAATGTCTCCTATATTCAGAGTAATTTTTCCTCTTACTTTGTGCAATCTTCTACAAACTCAAGGGTTTTTTTTAAACATTGAAATGAAAGTGATAAAGAATATGAATGTAATGCCCCCAGACACTACATGTGACTTGAGACTTGATCCCCATTGTGCTACAGTCCTGTAACTGTTTCACAAATGAGGATAGAGAGGTTATTTGGGAAAGAGCAATTAATTTCTTAGCCATTCTCTTCTTATTGCTTTCCGTTCTTACTGTGAATGTTAAAGTTTATTTTTCTTCATACAGATGTGATTATTTGAACAGCTTATCTACTGTTGTACAGCTGAGTTCACCCCACACCTCATTTAATATAAGCTTCTCAATTATTGTACATCTTTCTGAATTTTGATCAATAGTGACCTGAAACACATTACTTTTGGCTGAAATGAATTTCATGCCTCTCATGGTCTTCTGAACTGCAAAATCTGAAACGTGAGCTAAAATAGTAAGCAGATTGCCGTAGAAAAAGCATGGTAATTTAAAAAATGTGACACTTGTCTTCATTTTGTCTGTCATTTGGTTTTAAAGCATTCTCTTTTTCTTTATAAAGGTTTATCTGGATCAACTTCCAGGTTGCACCAATCATCTACCATTTCATCATATGCAACACTACGAAGGGATAGGTCCAAGGTAAGTTTTAAATGAACATCTGAAGGCAAATGTCTGAACTGTTCAAAACAGTTAGGTCCAGAATGTATTTTGCATAGCAAGAAGTGGGACTATAGTAGCATGGGAGAGGACCAAACCTGTGACCTAATAAAATCTCCAAGTTTTCACTTTCTTAAATGAATCAGGATCAGACAGACAACTTTATTTGAAATAGATTTATAAAACAACATTTAGAACAGAAAATTAACCCTACTAATAGAAAATACAGAGTTGAAATATGCAATTTAATGCAAAAATAATAGAAAAAAAATATTGATTTAGTAATAAGGTAGGAGAAAGAGTTTACTTTTTGAATACTACTTATAAAGTATTAATTACAACATGTGTTTTGTGTGCCTTGTGAATTCTGCAGGAGAGACCAAAGAGTGCCTTGGAACGTTTATACTCTGGAGACCACCAGAGAGGCAAGATGAGTGCAGAGGAGCAACTAGAACGAATGAAGCGACATCAGAAGGCATTAGTTCGTGAACGCAAGAGAACTCTTAGCCAAGGAGAAAGGCAGTCTGTTTCATCTCGGTCTTTCATCAGGCCCATTTCTGCAGACATAGGCTCAGTATGTTAGATATGCCTTAAAAGGACTAAACTAAAAATATCTTTGGATTTTTTCTTTTCCTAGCAAGCACTTTCACTTGAGTGTGTGTGATGCTTCTAGTCTAATTATTATAAATTGGTGTTATACAGTATAAAATGAGTTCAGAGAGTGTGAGTAATAGATGATTTTTTTTTTTTACTAGTAGTTATGGTATATGTAGCAGGTTCAGCAGGTAAGTTGGTCAGAGGTTGGTGTGCTGAGTGGAGATGTGAGTATATTGGAGTGATTTCAGAGACATGACTGGTTTTTATTGGAATTGTATTTAGAAAGTGTAAGAAGCTTGTACAGTTTTAAAACTGCTTCACAATGGAATGGGCCTTTTAGAATGTTCTTAATCATCATGAGTATTTTTCTTTTTAATTCATAAATTAGGCTGCAAGATAGTCATGGTAATATCAGACCAAGGTGGTGTGCGTTTGTTATTTTTTTAAAGAGATGATAAATGGATAATCAGTTTTAAAATCTAATCATGCAGATTAGAAATTTATGTAAGAGCTAATGTATTTTAACTGATACAAATTCTTCTTTAAAGATCAAAATGTAGAATATTCTAATAAGGCTCAAATTTAAGCTGCTGAAGAGAAAGATTTTTTGTTGTGTTCTGAGATAAAATGCTGTACAGAGGATAAGTTTGTAATTATACATTTTGGATACTAACCAAAGCAATTCTAATTGGTGAAGTTACCCAGTCGCTCACTTGGTGCTAAACCAAGATTGTACTGTAATTGCACTTATGCTGTGGTCTTTTAATTTATTTTTTATTTGGTCCACTAGAGCTTTAGAATGATCACCTTGTTTTACCTAATTCATTGCACAAGATCTCTTGCTTTTAGATTTGTCACTCATCATACCTAATGCCTCTTTTTTTGTTTGCTTGTTTTTAATTTGCAGAATTTTGTAGCTATTTTAAAATTTCTAACTGGACTACTCAATTTTTACCAGGCTTAATTGCATTTAGTACATTGTGTGTCAATTGCTAGCATTAAAAAAAAGTTTAATATTCAGCCTTTCATTCCCACTGTTCAGTAGCACTAATTTGCAGCCAGTTATTTGTATTTACTTTCCCAGTAAATACGAGTGCACTATTTGGAGACATTCATCTATTTTGTCTTCTGTTTTGCAATCACAAGTTTAATAAAGATAGTGCATAATATTTTGGAACTGTAGAACTATAGTATCACTGTTATTTTCATATTTTAATTAGAAGTAGTAAATCTGAGCTTCTTATGTTGCCTGACTCGCATAACATACACAAGTTGAATTTAAACATTTTCGTAACACTCCTTATTAACATCTGTGGCAAACACTTTATCTATCAATTGGGTGCCATCTTGGTCTTTTTCTTGCTGTAAAGAATGAAAATAGAAACTTTCAGCCCTAGCAATGTTTTGTCAAGGTCACCTCTTGTACTATAGGGCTTCGATACGCAAAAAGCATGTTTGATAGCACAATTACTTACAGCATTACAATTATTTAGCAGCCAAAATGGCAAACCATTAAATGTACAATTGAAGTGCTGCTCCGTATGTAACATTTGCTTTAAACATACATTGTATGTGTAATTCTTAATTTTTAATTGGTCAGCTCTCAAGTGTAGTATGACATTTTAAGTGTTGATCACAGTAGATGAATTCATTTGTTATATACGATGCCTTTTTAATGTAAAAATCGCAACATCAAAGCCAATAAAAATACTGCTTCATAAGAATGGTTTGATGTTTTTCTTACCTATATATCATAACTTGAAAATGATTCTGTGTATTTAAAATATACTATGTCAATCAGGCCTGGTTCGAATATGAGTAGAGGAATGAATTTGGAGTACTCGTATGAGAAAACATTTTTTTTTTCTCTTTTAAGTTCTATAAAGAAACATCCTGATTTTTGATATAATTGCCTTTTAGCTATTTAACTTTTTTAATATACATGGAATATATGTATCTTCTGAGTGAATATTGAGAGCTTGTGCATGAATAGGTTTAAATTAGATATATTAGTGCAAGTAGCATAATGAAGTTTAATGAACTTGCACATCAAGTTCAAACTTCAACCAAAATAAGCCAGAAACTTGTAACAGAAATACTGGAGATATTTTAAGAAAAATATAAAGCACATTCTCCTACTGATACCCTCAAATGCTTGAGGAGATAATTTTTTTATTGTTCTTTTTGTCCCTTCTTTTTTCCACTGCCTTTAATATTGTGTTTCAACTCTGTATGGTAAAGTTGCTGAGAGCTGCTGAATGGAATGATGATGCAACTGAACTTAATTTTTTGAACAAAAAAGTGTTGGTAGCATTCTTAAGCGTGAGTTTATATGTGGCTGTGCTGCATGTAGTTGTGAAGGAGCTACTGTGCAATGATACTGCAACTCCCAAATTATGCTGCTTATTTACCTTGTAAAGACAGAATGTGAAAGCTTTTTTTTTTGTCTTTGCAGGTAGCTAGATACTGCTTTTAGTAAAGTCAGAAGAGCTTAGAAGTTACTAAACTATTATTTTTGAATTTAAGACAATTAATGCTGTTACATAAAATATTATCAGCTTTAAACACTAGGTATTATTCTAAAAAAAGATATATCAAATTTTTCACGTTGTAATTCTCAACCTACAGTATAAATACCCTTTCTGCGCAGAGATTCAAAATCACACAGCACGACCTGGTTAGAATGCCTAGGATGAGTCTGTCAGTCTGTAGACTCGCTTGCATTGACATCTGTCCTTCCAAAGGTGTTTGTGCTTAGCTAGTTTCATGTTAATCGGCATTTGTGAAATTGTGATTAATACATTCGTTAGAATTTAATACTGCTGAACGTTACCTGTAAAATTAAACAATACTCTCAAATCTGTGCAGCAGAGCTAGAGATCAAATCTCCCAACCATATGTTCTAACAGTTGTATTTTCTTTTTCCTGTCAGTTAAGGGGTTTGCTCTGTGGATTCTTTCAGCAATATAGCATTTGCAGCAGTAGTAATGTACATTGCTAAATGATAAATTTGGCAGTATGGTTGAATGCTGTTAATTGTTTTGTATCTATTACCAGTGGAAGCGAGAGCAAGAATTTGATTTGCAGTTACTTGAGAGGGCAATTCGTGGAGAAGACAAGGATGAAAATGAATGGTTAAAAGTTCAGCCGGTAGCAGTGACAGAGACAGACCTGGAGCCTCAAGACTATGATTTAGACATCAGCAGAGAGGTAACACTCATCATTTTTTTGCCTCTTATTCTGTGCTCCAAAATATTAGCTCAAGTTTTAGGTAGTGAATTCTCATATTTTCTTTCAGAAGTTAGCTGAGGGTTTGAACTAAAAAGGGTCTTTTGGGTATGGAAAACTGACAGCCTGGCACTTAGAATCTCTGTATGGCTCATGTTCGTATTGTTTGAAAAAAGGAAACAACAATGAAGGAAAAGTTAGTTCCCCAGAGCTACCTTATTTTTCATTTTGACTGACCAAACATAGTAGAGAAGAGAGACCACTGCTTTATTCCGATCAGAACAGAAAACACCTTTTTGTCGTCTTTTCAAGTGTTGGTTGGTGTTCCGGGCCCTAGATCTTACCGGTAAAGTATTTGTTTGAAATGCGATTGAGCCATCTGGTGGAAAAGAAAGTATATAGCAAGTGGAAGGATTTCAGGAATGCTGCATTGTGTAAAAGGCCATGGTAGATGGAAAATTAGTAAAGTGACTAATACTAATTAGAATAGTAAGCACCTCTACTATTCTGCAAGCTGTTGGCAATGAACCATTTTATAGAGAGAGGTATTTGTAAGAGGTTGAGTCTCTGAGTCATTATCTGTTGATCTCTATAATGAATGTATCTTTCAATTAATATTTGTAGATTTTCTACAGAAAATGCAGTGCTCCTGAACAGAAAAAATAATTCTGTTGTATTACCTTTCCTTGTTGCACTCTGCTATTTAATTTTTTTTTCCAGAAAGCCTCCCAGGCTAAGGAAATCACTTTGTACATCCAAATCAGCGCCCTAAGCCTAGGGTAGGAAACATTTTTGCTTGTAGGCATTGCAGTCTTACTTCAGAGTAGCTAAAGCAGGACTGAAGCTCTGGATGTAAAGCTTCTTTCTCAGGTTACCCAGGTTGTCCTTTTCCATTTCGTGTACCCATCCTCTTCACCTGGCAGGCACTTCTGTACCTGAGGTATTTCTGTGCCTCATAAGGAAATGTACTTAGTTGAGTCTTTAAGGCCACTAAATCTGCTGTTCACATGATAACTGAGTGAGTTGTTCTGGAAGTGGCAGGAGAACCCATCTAAGTTAGTTATAGTATGGAGATAGATATATACACTTTAAATAAAAAAAGAGAAAATATGTATGTATAGCTACAGAGCTGCAAAGGAGCTGGATTTGAAGTTAAGGAAGTGTACTGGAAAATGAAGGTTTTTCAGGAAGCATTGACTTGAGTTTACTGAGAAGGAAGTTTAAAAATTTGAGGTTGTGATTTCAATGTGGTTATGAGTGCCAATGACTGTATTGTATGCTTTGGGCCTATGATTGCCTGCAAATTAGAGCCTGATCACTGGGCGTGAGGTCAGGCCACTTTACATATGCCATTGAATTAGTGTGAACTGAATTCAGCAGTGAAGAATTTAGGATTATTTTTATTTAAAACTTTGAATCTTGAAAACTCATCACCTCATGAGTGTTTTAACAAAACTCCAAAAAGGAGAAGAAAGAAAATAATTGTTCTCCTTTTACTTATTTATTCACACATCCTCTATTGTGCTTTTCAGAAGCAGTCTGTCTGTAGAAGCATTCAGGGTCCATTTGTAAACTGAATTTTCATTGGGTGATTTAGATCTCATGTGGAGCAAAGTTTTCCTACAAAGAAACTGATTCTAACAAAAACTTGTTGCTAGCTTTTGTACAATCATATGAAAATTTTCAATCTACATAATCATGTGCATGCAGTGTGTTGTTACAGTTGCACAATGCTATTGTATTTCTGGATCAGTTCCCTAGACAACTTTTGAACACCTAGGATTTCAGATTTTATAGTCCAAGAATTTCCTAATACGATTACAAACTGCTGGTTTGTTGTTTGGGTTTTGGTTGTTTTTTGTTTGTTTTTTTTTTTCTCCACTGCTCACTGAAGAAGATCATGCAGTCTCAAAAGAATGATATCCTAGATTAAAACTTCAGGTGATATTTCCTTTCAGTTGTAGGAAGTCCTCACTGTCATGACATAAATATTCTGACATTAAAATCTCAGGTTGTCCAGTCAGTCTTGTAGTGGTTGCTTCTTCCCTCTGTAACAGCTTTAAGTAGCGTCCTCCGTTGGACTTTATGCCTGAGCTGAAAAAAGTTCACTGTTGATTCTGACTTATTTTGTAATCCCTTTAATGTTTGTTCGATCTATCTTCTAAAGTAAAATGAATCAGAGGGAAAAGACACTGTTAAAAGGGCATCAGCTTATATCCAGGGGGAGTGTTTAGCATCAGGTTCATGTATTGGCTGTGAAAACCCATGCCTTATTCTTTTTACTGTGTTCTTCCATTGAAGAGAATTTTTTTTAAAAAAAAATTGAGATAAACTTGATGCTTGCTTGCTTTCCACAGCTATCAAAACCTGAGAAGGTTGCAATACCCGAACGCTATGTTGAACTGGAGCCAGAAGAGCCTCTTTCTACAGAAGAACTGGCAGCAAGGCAGCGTAAAGCAGAAAAGATCAAGAATATTCTTACTAAATCAAGGTCAGTTGTTTTGGGGTTTTTTTCAGATCTTATATATAGGGGCTGGTGTTAAACATTGGGAACTAACTTCATAAAACAGTCTTAGTTCCTATTTGAATTATCTAAATGTAGCTTGTGGCTTTTAGAAAATGCCCACAGAACTTATGTAGTATACTTAAATCTCCTTTTAAAAACAGGGTAAAAGAGATAATGACAAATTTTGTATATGTCCATTTTCTTGTACAGAGCATCCTAAAATAGTAGTGAGTCCTTACCAAGCAACTTGTAGATGAGAGTGAGGAGGAAGGAAAGGCACAGATCTGGCCAAAAGCAGAAAAGAAGTCAGTGTGAGAAGAGGCTCTGTTGCCTTCAGAAAGCTGAAGTTCTGAAAGAATGCTTTTGGCTACTTACAGCTCTGAAACATTCAGTTTCAAGAATTTGATTACCTCAAGTATCTGCTGTCTCTTTGGGAGACAATTAAAGAGGCTGTGCCTGAGTACCACGAGGTATATGCCTTTTCCTATGGGCACTAACAAGAAATTTTGTTAACAGCTTCAAATAAACAGTACATTTTGATAGTGCTTTCATGTAAACGGTGTATTTACACCAAAGGACTTTCAGATATACTTAAGGCTATGCAGAAGTTGTGACTGAATGTGTAATGGCCTCATCCTTTGTCACTGTATGCTGTAGTCATTCACATACAATATCTAACACTACTTTAAAGAACGTCAATAAAATACAGAGCTTGATAGATGAGATCTGAAAACTGCTGTATGAATTCAAGCTGGTTCTTATCTGCATGGTGGATTCTTCTTCATGTTTGAAAATGTTAATGTTGTTTTGCACTTTCCCACTAGTATGCACAATCTACAGCCTACTGTTGCCCAGGACAAACACAACTCAGTTGATTTAGATTCACAGCTGCAAGAGCAGGAGCGCATCATTACCATATCATACGCTTTGGCTTCTGAAGCCTCTCAGAGGAGCAAGGAGGTAGCAGGTAATACTTAGTTATTTACAAAATAACAGCTATTTCTTACCAGCTTCTAAAGTTGCAGGGTTGTTGCTGAACCCCTGATGTAAGAGAGAGTTTTAGTCATTCATATTCAAAATAGCAAAAAGTGTGTATAGATAGCGAATGTATAGAGACTGAAGATTTATGTTGAGTGTTTGTCCTCCAGTGGACAGGGTGAAGGGGACAAAATACTATGATAAGTACATTCAGAGCTTGGAAACTTGCTCTTACTAATAGTACTAAATAATTATAATCTTCAACGAATTCCCTATAATTATATTAAGTGATGTATTTCTATATTCATTTTTGAAAGTAAATTAATCTGTGACTTAAAAAAAAATCAAGACAGAGGGATTTTTAATTTTTTAACAGAAGGATTCCCTGGTCTGGTGATTGAGATTAGAGTACAGTCATTTGCAGCTTGAGCTGTATGACAACAGGCTGAAAAAGACATTGCAAAATGGGTATTGGCATGTTTCTGTCTGGTGACCAAGATTAGAGGTCAGAGCAAGACAGCCATGCATAAATTCTGCTTGATGCCTGGAAATTAATAGATCCTTTGCAATATGTTACTAAAAGTGATAATTTCACTCTTGATTGCTTTATAGTTGAAATAAGTAAGAACTGTCAAGAGATTTGTATGACACAGTAATACATGCGGCAGCTATTCTAGCACGTATCTGACTGGCCATTTATAACTGGCACAGTTCACTGTTCCAGTGGAGAATGGAAATAATGGAAACTTTAACCATGATGGAGAAAAAATGTGCACATTTCTCATCTGAAGTTGACACTTTAAACTTATGGCACTTGTGACAGAAACCCTGAAGACCTTCCCATTCCAGGCAGATTATTCAATATCCAGCTGCATAACATGCATCTGTAGTAGCAGGCTGTTGATTGAATGTGGCTCTGTACTCACAGATGCAGTGGCAGCTAAACCTGAGGGAAATGCGATTTTTTTGAGGGGATGTCATGCATTTTCAAGATACAAATCTTGAGACTTTGGAGACATTCTGTGGGTAATTTAACTGACTGGAAGGGATAAAATGATCCACTGAGGAGGCTAGACAATATAAAAAACAAAACAAACAAAAAAACCCCAGAACTGTAAAATCTTGGGAGCACTGCCTTCAGGCATCTGTGCATCCAAACAGCTTCTCCACAGGCAGTCTGGTCCCAGTTCTAGTAACCAGGTCCTTGTAACAGGGACTCGTGCACTTTGGTTATGGGGTGGGACTTAGTGTCTCAGGAGATACGAACCAACGCAGCATTTTGCCACAGGCGTTCTAGCTTCTGGGAACAGGTAGCACCGAAGCCAAGATCAACGAAGATGAACACAGCCCATACTTGAAATGATTCCTCTGTGTCAGTACAGTAGCAGAGTGCCTGCCATACTGAACAGTCTTCATGTGGCCGGTTACCTTACTCCTTGGTGTGCGGGGAGATGCAGTAACTGAAATATGTTTGATCTTTCTATGTTGTGTAGTGATTGTAGTAGCTATGGTTTCATTACTACAGGTTTTTTTGGTTTAGATTTTAATTTTTTAACTGTAATTATTTCAGAAGTTTGATCGCCACATATTCATAGATATACATAACCGCAGAAATATTCTTAACTCTAGTTGTCCCCGAAGAGGGAATTAAAGTGTGTATTGTCACCAGAATGTCTAAATGCTGCTTGAGAAAATTTGCAGTCAGTTGTGAGATGATTTTTAATTTTAATTTTCCTTGTGAAGTATAGCAGCTAGCTCTTTTTGTCTTTCAGACGCTTAAAAAACCCCTAACATAGTGGTCAAGGACTTGATTCTCTAAGGAAGCCCAAACCTTTATGTCCATGTGCAGTTTTCATTGCCATATTTGTACCTCCAATATTCACTTCTTTTAACGTGTCCCTCTTTGATTTCAGTTATTACTGACTCCTTTCAAAACAAAGACCTTCCAAGGAATACTAAAAAAAGCCAGCATGGTTTGGGTTTGACAGAAAATATAGAAACCATAAAAAGAGTTCAGGTTTTTTAGTTACAGCCTATTTTCTGATGATCTAAAGTGATGTTCTGATTTAACCCCAGCTGGCAACTAAGCTGCACACAGCTGGTTGCTCACTCCCCCTGCCCCCAGCGAGACGCAGGAGAGAATCAGAGGGGTAAAAGTGAGAAAACTCATGGGCTGAGATAAAGACAGTTTAACAGGTAAAGCAAAAGCCGGGCGCGCAAGCAAAGCAACACAAGGAATTCATGGCCCCCTGCCCATGGGCAGGCGGGTGCTCAGCCATCTCCAGCACGGCCCGGCTCCATCACGCGTAACGGTGACTTGGGGAGACAAACGCCACCACTGCGAACGTCCCCCCCTTCCTCCTCCTCCCCCAGCTGTACGTGCTGAGCATGAGCCGTCGGGTGGGGGATACCCCTGGGGTCAGCTGGGGTCAGCTGTCCCCTCTGTGTCCCCTCCCAGCTCCTTGTGCACCCCCAGGCTGCTCGCTGGGGGTGGGGGGAGAGGCAGAAAAGGCCTTGGCTCTGTGTAAGCCCTGCTCAGCGGTGACAAAAACATCCCTGTGTTATCAGCACTGGGTTCAGCACAGATCCAAACCACAACCCCATACTAGATGCTGTGAGGAAAATTAATTCTATCCCAGTCAAAATGAGCACAACTGATTAAAAAGAAAAGCAGTTGGTGGTTTGCACAGCTGATTGTACCGTCTCATGTATTTTAACTTTACAAATTACTTCATATTCTTAGTTTTATGGTTTGATTTTTAAGTATGGCTTGTCATTTCCTCCTTGTTTATGAAGCAGATCTAAAACGTAAAGGTCTGGATTTTTTACAAAGATTTGATTATGAGAAAGACTGCAAAGCTTAACTTTCCCTACTTTTCAGGGGGAAGTTGTGTTAAGATGCTATGATAATGTAAATCTCTTACAAATTGTACATTTATCTAATCCTTTTAAAGCAGCATTTTATTGCTCCTCTGTTCCTTGTAAGAAATTAACCTTCTAAATGGCAATCATGCCAAGAATCTGAAAGATTACAATCAAATGTAGGAGTGTCAAGAAGTCATTTCCTAAATTGTATGTTTTGGAATTAGGTCTACCTTTGCCCCTCCAAAATGTAAAAGCAGAATTTAAGACTGAGTTTCAGTCTGCTTAGTTTTATGATTATTGTCTCTAATGCTTTACCTTTATTCTGTTTTATAAACAAGGATAGTTTTAATCATTATATTATTTATCTTGAAGTTTCAATCTGAGATCTCAAAATGTATTTACAGTATCATGCACTGTACTAAGCAAAATGCTATATGCATCTGTAAATCTTTTTTTGGATAATATTTCTATATATTACTTTGTTTCCGCTCATTGGCTTGCAACAAAAGGAGTACTGAAAACCTGTACAACCTCAGTGAAACCTTGAAACCAAATTGGCAAATACAGGTGCTATTCCAGAACTGCAGTTTTGAGAGCAGGGCTTGATTAGGGTGTATCGGTGTTGTGTGCCTTAAAATGTTCCAGTGAAACGTCATCTTAAGATCGATTGTCCATATTCTCATCAAAATGGGAATGTTAATTTGCATAAATTATGCAACTAATAGTAAAAACCGCAGGTAGAAATGTTGTTGTTTGAATTGTGTTCTATGTAACTAAAATAGTGTAACACCTCATTGCATTACTAATCAGGTTTCCTATTCACATGATAGAAAGTTAAGGTGGCTCTGTTATAATGTGAATGTTTGATTGTGCACCCTAATTCCTGTATGTGATCCCTTCTAGCTCAGCAGTTGACCTATCCATCTAAAGCACCCTCACCTTCTGTACCACAGCCACCTCACTCCCCCTTAAGCAATGGATTTCACTACACATTTGTTTAAACACCTTAAAAGTAAGAACTAACTGCTCTCGGCATGTATGATTTGCCATTGTACCTTTGCTGTGGCTTGCTGAATTTTAACGTTTTGACTAAACCGAAATTAGATCCATATGAACGCATGCATCTATTTTTCAGAAACCTTTTATTCTTGTAAAGATTGCTTCTAATGAGCTAACATGTGGGCTAATAAAGTCTTTAAATAACTGCTGTTGCTCTACAGATAAGATGCTTCCATAATCTTACTGTGGTGAAGGATAGAGGTATCTGTACTCTCGATAGCATAGGGCCAGATTTTCAGCAGCAGTTTGTACTCCGGTGGCTAGTCTTGTGTGCTCCTGCGGCTACCGTAGGGATGTGTAGGTATTTTTGCCTGCGTGTGGCATATACTGTTGCTGCACAAGAGAATCCAAAGTGCAAAGTTGTATAAGCAGGGGGTTCTTTTATGGGCTGGTGTCTCATACATGAACAAACATCAGAGTCTTAATTGAGGTGAGCTGAAAATTTGGCCCTTTATAACTAATTCTCCAATATCATGTTTGACTCTTTCATACCTTTGATGTGTTTTTCATTTAATTGTGTTAAAAGACGACTTGATTTTTGTCTCAAATTAGGGTATTTTGCCATTTCAACTATTAAAATTATGAACATTTAATTGTCCTTATAAAGAAATATGTATCATCCCTTCCCAGTAGAATTTTCAGTCTTCTCTATTTGAAATAAGAAAACCTGTAAATATTATGGTACTTAACAGCTAAGTGTACCTTTAGTTAAGACACTCCCCGTGCTTTCATGGTTTCCTTTGAAATTATTCTCACCTTTCTGCTTTCCTTTGGCCTAATTTTATTGCCTGATGTTGCGCAAAAAGATAAAGCATAAATGAAGTAGGAAAAATGGTTGACTGAGTGAAGACCTCAAATAGTGTTAATCTTTAGATACCTTTGTTTTTATTCTCATGAATCTGAGTCAAATATCTGTGCAAAAAAAATGAAAATCTCAATAAAAATGAGCACAAACCAGAAAGGCAAAAATGAGCAGTGACCTGCCTTCAAAAAGGCTTGTGAGAAATAACAAATTTACATCAAGAGAGGTGTATAGACATTAGGGAGCCTCAACAGATCTTGATGGAAATAGCTGTTTGCTGTTCTGGTTCAGTTTATCTTTCTGAGAACCAGATTTTACCATCTTTGCTGTGTCTGAATAACACTTGAGTCTACTATTATATCCAGGGAGATGCTGGTTGATTATCACTGTCACATGAGGTCTTTGTGCGTGAACGTAGTGCCCATGCGTGGCCTCAGGAACCCAGAAGAATAACCGTATGGTCCTAGGCTATTAGAGTTGAGCAGGGGGCTTGGCCCAGATGACCTTCAGAGGTCCCTTCCTACCCTAACCATTCTGTGATTCCAGACTGATTTAAAAACATCTATCGCATGCCTATATAAATATACATACATGTGTGTGTATAGATATATATTTATATATATACATATATATTTTAAAAAGCCTTACATTTTCTTCAGGAAAATTATCAAGAAAATAATTGCAATAACCAGCAACATGCAGGGGACATGGGAGTTTAAGCATCATTGGCATTGTGAGATAATTGTTCACTTAATGTGTCTCTATGAATTGTTCGTTCTGTCACACTGCAGAGGCTTTAGTTAAAGTTTCCTGAATGTGCTTAGTGCTTGGCATTAGTGTATTCACTTTAATATTTAACCATGTTTTATTTTACTTCATGCTAGCCAAAGCAGTAAGTGAACACTGACATAAGACTCAAAGCAAATCCCACCTAGTGATGCCGCGTGGAAGAAAGAGGAGATTCATTACCGGCTTTCTGTGAAGACACTCATCACCTGATGACATGTTCTTCTGGAAATACCTTCAGAGAATAATAGGGGGATTTTCTATGAAAATGAAGAGAATTGAAAATCATTTTATTTTTACTTCAGTTTAGTTCAGATTTTTTATATGAATAAATGGCACTTTTAATAAACTCTGTAAAATACTGACAATGTATTTTTAGGACAATATGGTTTAGATTTTTTTTTTTTTAATCAAGGGCTGAATTCATTTTGAGAGAAGCTACTTGCATAGATCTTAAAAGATGCTCTTACTTCCCCCTCAGGCTCAGATGCACAATGTAAAGTTTCATGAAAAAAATGTAAATTTGAACAAACCTAGAAGCACATTCATAGGGTATGAGTAGAGCTAATGCAAGAGAGAGGTTTGCCGAAAGGGTGTTTTGGATTGAGTATGATTGTAGAGTTACTCACCCACCCTCTTGCCCATTAAATAATACGCTGAAAGGAACTTTTAGCTTGAATTTCTAAATATCAGTAACCACTGTATAGCTGAAACTTTCCATGAAAGCCATAATGAAAGCCAGTTTTAACTCCTGTTTCCTTTTTTAATCCCATGTGATTAACTTGCTGGTATCAGTTCACCGTAAACTAAGTTGCTCTTGACCGTAGTGCTGTCCCCTCAGCAACAGCTAACAAATCATACTTTTTTGAAAGTTGAGATGTGGAAGAAGAAAACTTCTAACTAAAATATGTGAACTAAGCAATAAAAAAAATATAATAGGGTATGTCATTTTACTAGTAAATATGTATTTTTCTTTTGATTTTTTTCCAATAAACTTTACAATATGATATATTGACTAGTATTTATCCTGGAGACAGCAAAACTAATGTGGCACCTGCTAATTTCATATGTGTATTCACCTGGTGCTTAACTTTGCCAAACTTAGAGAAATTCAGTGTTTTACTCATGTATAGGGCAAAGGGTGAGGTACTTAAATAAGGAGAAAATAAGATTAAATGAATTGCTGCAACTACTTTACTTGAAAAAAAACCTGTGTATGCATTGAATACAAGACATGCAAAAGTGTCCCTTTATGTAATTATTGGCTGAGTTCAGCTCTGGATGAGAAATGACTGAGAAATACTTCCGCAGTATTTTGTGAAACCACTAACTTGTTCATTTGCTGTATTCAAATAATAGCTGTAAAAACCCTTGAAATTGACCTTCAAGTTTCAGACTTTAAGACAAATCATATTATATTAACACTATACTCAGAAATATTCTTGAAAGTATATATTTAGCTAATGCAATCTATTTTACCTCAATACTGCCAGTATCAACTTAAAAACCTTTTGCCAAAATAATGATTTATTTTTGCCTTTATAAAAAGTTTTGAAAGCATAAATGAATATTTTGCAAGAAAACATTAATTTAAATAAAATGTAACAGTTTGGAAAATGGTATATGTACAGATTAAAATATTAACATAACTGCCTCCTATTGCCTCTGTCTTGCCTGCTCTTTTGTCGGCATCCATGTGGTTGGAAATGCAGAGTCGTTTGTGCTGTTATCACATTTTGCTCTTCTTTGGTTCAAGTGCTGTTGAAGTTCCCCAGTTTTGCACTTCACTGGGATTTGGATCAGCTTCCCCCTACCCCAAAGCTTCTGTTTTACTTTTTTTAAAGAAATGTTTCTTAGCATTTGATTAAATCTGTCTTTATTCTTGAAGATTTGTCAGGGTTATCCCCTAAACAGAATGACTACACTGCTGTCCTTTCTGTGTCATAAATACATATGTTTGTCTGACACATTCTTAGCTCTTTAGTTTCTGGTGAAACAAAGCATCAAAAGTAACTTCAATTTAAAAAAAAAAAAAAGGAAGCCCCCAAAACCTGGAGCCCTTACCTGGTAACATGTGTGCAGTATGCGATTGAGGTGTTGCCCAAAGAGAGGGTGGGTGGGCAACCAGCACAGCTGTGACATCAAGTGCCATCGGTTTGATGGAGAACAGTGGAAATGTTTAACCCTTCTGAAACTTAATCTCTAGAACAAAACGTAAAGAAGCAGTTAGAAGTATTTCTGTGGCTTAGTGTTGCCTCTGTAAACTTGAGAACAAATATTTGAGACTGGGAGTACCTGACCCTTAGATGCATGCAGCCAACATTCAGAGCTGAGCTGCTTCCGACATGCTTGTCCTATTTCTCGGGCACACAAAGGAGCCTTTGACCGCACGTTTTGTAGTTCAGCGTCATGGTGTCATGCTGCAGAAGCTTTGTTACAGGGGAGGGACGCGCATGTGGCCGTAATTGGTGGGTGAGGAGCCGGCCCGTGGGCTCCCCATTCCGACTGCTGCCCCAGCACTGAAGGGAAAGGGGCGCGGGCGTCTGCTCGGCACGCAGTGGGAGATGTTCATTTCCTTTCCTTTGATCACACACACAAAATCTGCCCATTCAAGCTTGCGTGAAAGAAGGATTTTGCCCTAAATACTTATGCCACTAATGTTTTTAACAAAACTGGTCTTTCTAAAGATTTTGGTCTGCGTCTAATCCAATTATCAAGAGAATTTTTCTTCCAAACCTTGTTAGTGAATGTGTGGAGTGCTGTTCTCTGGTGACCATCTCTTTTGCTGGGATGGGTGTAGTTTTTCAATAATTAGGGCTAATTTTCATGTGTGTGTTTTGTGTCGATTTCCTTTTTCAGTTCTGGTTTTTTTTTAATCAGAATGCTCTTCTCTAGGTGTTACACCCTACTCTCTAATATTAAGACTAGAAAAAAATTATGTCTGCGTACAGATCGTTTCGGTCAGAAAGTGGATTTCTTTTTTTTCTCTGCTTATTAAGCAGTGTAAGTGTTTGGGACTGATTATAATTAAAGAAACAGAAACTCCTTAGAAAGCAGCATCAGTTCTTCTTCCGAAGGCGTTGTTTTCTAATTAGTATTTTGTAATGTTATACCAAGCAAAAAATTACGCGGACTGACTTCCCATATACATCTGTTTTCAATTTCTTCAGTAAAGTTATTAAAATTTTATTGTACAGCTGAATTTATAAAAGTACAGCCTGGTACTCATAAGTAGCACTGCTTTCACCTTTTTGAACTTGAATAACACCCCCCACCCCTCCCCATTTTTCATTACTGCTTTTTGGAGTTCATTTGTATTGCTGGGCTGCTAGGAAATCCTATTGAGCTATAGCACTGTTGCTTGTCTTTGTACATCCATATAAACTTATTTATTTATTTTATTTTATTTGAAGGACTGGACACGTAGCAGTCGCTAGAGGCATCCAGACTGCTTTGGAACAGTTGGAAAAAAAACCCTGAAAAGTTTTTCAGGAAACAGCTGTATGAAGAGATTCTATTCTGGAAGGTTGCTAATGTGTGGAACTAAAAGCTATTGAAAGATACTACTAAACTTGTGTGCTGCTATTTCAAAAACATTGTTCAAGGTCAAGCAAGGTGGTCTCAGGTACCCGTAGCCTTTGGAGAGAGGTTGGTGTTTCGAGAAAGCGGGGCACTCCCAACAAGTTCTGGTGGTGTTTACACCGTTATTTTTCTACTTGCACCAGTTATTATTCTGATTTCCAGATCTTCAAATATATGTGTATATATTTTATATCAGCATTTGTTCCACTCTGTAAAACCACATATTTCTCATGTGTCTTAGCAATTAGCTTCTGGATGATATATATGAAGGAAGGACCAGATTTACTTAGTGTCAAAACTTAGAAGATACAGAAGGCATGATCTGATGATACCCGTCTGATTTATGTCAGTCTTTGGGTATTTTAAGTGTTTGCTTGTGCTGCGTGTGCGTGTGTGTATGTCTGTATTGCGTAGTTATAAAAAGAACAAAGCAATGCACAAGAAAAACATAAAAAATTGCTATATTTTTCCACACCTAGTAAACATTCCCATTGGTTATTTGGCAATATTCAAAAGGCTAAGACTTTTATTGCTCTACTAGCAAAAGCAACCTTTCTTCATAGTGGAGCAGTACAAAGAAAGAGCACAAAAAATACACACATCACAGTGCCTGAAATTCTGTTTGAACAACAGTATTGATTGGGTCTGACCCCTTTACATTTTTTTTCCATTATTTGAAAAGGTGCATCTAACTGTAGCTGAATTGAACCAACCGAGATGAACTTTCCATGAAAACTTCTTGAGATATTTCTTTAGTTCAAAGCTTTGGAATTTTAAAGAGCATTTTTAATACAAGTCTGTTGAGGTATTCTGTGCAACAACCATACTTTGAATGTTAAACTACAGGTAAACCTAAGAGGAAGGTAAAATTATAAAGCCTACTATGAAATTACTGGGAGATAGCAGAATAACTTCGAGAACTAATTATAAAAGTAAATAAAAGCAGAAAGTATTGCATAAATGCACAGTTGTGCACTGTTTATTTGCTATTAACTTGCCGGTGCTCCTGATTGATTTACAGAGAGTGCAAACAGCCTCCAAAGAAAATGCTAACAGAATTAGACACCATAGTTGGAACAGTTATTGGTGAAATAGTTGTAAGACGTAGGCTTAAAGGATAATGCCATTTTCTTGTTGCCCACTAGAAGAAGCCTTATACCAGGAGCTATAGCATAAAAAAAGCACCAAAGGAAGGAAGAGATAAAGAAAACCAAGGTGAGTAGTGAGTTTATAGGAAATAGTAGCAGAGATGTGTCTGTGAACAAGACTGAGAGGCTGAAGGTGAGAGTGGAGAACAGCCTAGGGGTGTGAAGTGAGAGGTAGTAAAAATATTGAAGGTGCTGGAATCCGTGAGCTCGGTCAGTGGCAAAGTGCTTTCATGAAGGGACTCAACCAAAATTGTAGAGGTGGAAGTAAGAAGAAAGAATAGCTGGCGAGGGAAGATGTAAATCCAGTGTCCAAGTACCAAAAAATACCTTGTGAGTGGGAGAAACAAGAGAGTGTTGATGGTGGCAGCGGGTGAAGGAGAGAATCACTGATACCTTTCAAATAGTGCTTTGGGAGCAGGACAGTTGTCTTTTCTATTGGCAGCAGCTGTGCTGTTATTTTAAGCCAAATTGCAGTTAAGAATGGCTGTATGAGCAAAACTCTCCTTTTCCTTGTAGAAACAGCTTTCCCCAGAGCCAGGGGTGGAAGAGGTTGGTCCTCCCCAGCACAGAGCCTGGCCCGAGTGAGTGCTGCTCTCTCGGCCATTGTGATGTGCCGGTGCAAGACTGAGTGTTGTGTGGCCTGCTGGAGTCTCTGGCCTCGGATCTATTATGTTGTCAGGGGCTTGGGCTGGCTTGATTTTTATCTCTAGAGCCAAAATTGAGAAAAGCCATAACATTATTTTCTGGTTCATCTCATGAGACATGGGAGGTTTTTGGAAACCCTGGCTGATGGCTTATGCGAGATGTAACCCTAAGGAAAGGAAGTAACTGGTGACAGTGAGTTGTACCACTCTGGGGGAAAAAGTTGACATCAGAGAAGTCACTGCTAATTCTGTCTCTTGCATTGTCTGTACTGTTGGCTTCTCTGATTGCTTAGTTCATGCTACACAGTTCTTCTGTGTCTCTGCTCCACTTGTTCCGTGTTGTGCCTTTGAGCATCTTCCTCTCCCAGTATGGAACAGGATTTTGTCTTCTGCCCAGGATGGTTGCAGTGTGTCTGTGTGTACGTGCTGAGGGGCGTGAGCATGTACACATGCACGGATGTTGATCCCATTCTCCTCTCCCTTGTGCTGAGGCACAGAATTGGCAAAAGCTGAGTGACCGCTGCTGAGGTGTGTACCAGAACTGCCTGCTCTGCTCACTTGCCGAGTCCTCACCTGGATGGGAGGCTCAGAGGGAAGAGAGAACGATGTCTTGTGAGTGTAGCTGTGTCCCCTGGCTTTCTCAAAGCCTTCTGTGTGCCTGAGGACTCCTCAGCTGTCTTTACTCAACACAGATTAAAGGTTACTTTGGGTAGCCTTTAATGGCAAATGATTTTATACTCAGATTTTATTCAGGATCTGGGTAGTGGCTCCATCAGTTGACTACTGAGTAAATTTGATCTGTTTTTTGTGGGTCCAGTGTAGATTTCTTATGTTAAGAAGTCTCTCTGACAAAAAAAAAAAAAATTAAAAAAGGTTTTGGAAAGAGATGTTCTGTTTCTACATCCTCACAGGTCATAACTACTAGGTTTTAGTGACTGTAACAGGAAGAAGGAGACTTGCCCTCAACCAGTTAAGGATCAAAAGCTTCACCTGCATTAGTTTTAAAGTTTTAGCAATAAATATGAGGGTGTAAAGGAGTCACTTCAGATTATCAAACCCTTCTGCAGTCTTTAGTGTAGCTTGATAGTCTTGTGATGAGAACACTTACGGTTAACAGTTAGAGAGAATTCCCCTACAGGTCAAGGCAGGCATCTGTGAAAAATTTCAAAGCAAGGACTTTTTTTATATGAGCCTCTGTATTGCTTGACTGGTGATACAAAACCCCTCTTCTTATGTATGTTACTTTTCATTCTTCTCTCTTTTTTTTTTTTCCTCAACTAGATCTTCCTGAGCTGTGGACACCATAAATGGTACTGGATTTGGGTAGATAATAGCACACTGTCAGTCTGATCTAATTCTGCACCTGCATGTCAAAACCAAATCAAATTAGATTAAATCATTAAGTATTTTGTTTCTTTAATGCTGTGCAAAAACTAAGGAAACTTTTATCTACCCATCGCCATACTGTACACCTGTACACAACTCAGATATTTTTCTCAGGAAAAGTGCAGTTGAGGTAGCAGTCTTAAAAGCAAACAAAACCAACTTCTGCTTTGTCCCTCCAGTGAGGGTACCTTGACACATGTCCTTTCACTTAATCCCTTGACAGCTTCCAAGAGACTGATGCAAATAACCGTGCCAGGCTTTGATTATGAGATACTGCACTGCCACTTATTCTCTTTGTCTCCTGCAGTTTACAGAGGCAGCTTCAGTGCATAATTTAATCCCTGTACTGGGGACTGTAGCAAATCCACAGAGATTTCCTCCAACCGTCCTCTCTGGCATCGGAACTACATGTGCACGTCGTCTTTGATGTGAATTCCCCAACCAGAGCCTTAGAAGGACCTGTAGCTTTGAAGCTGGCCTGTAAATTGTGCTTTCAGGAATCCAGTTGTCAGCCTCCTCTTCAGGAAGAAAGGGAGAGTAAACTGTAAAGCAGTTGCATAAAGCTACAGGGCAACTTACAGATCTGGTTTTCTTGGCCTCGAAGAGTTCCTGTACCAATTTGAGAATCCCTTTTTACCTGGGCTTAGAAGCATCCTCGTTTGTGACTACAGGACCCTGTGGGCGGTGGGGCTGGGGTGGTACTCGTCCTGATGGTTCCCTGTTCCAAGGCAAGCGGAAGGGGAACTGACACACTGGTGCTTTCAACCTGTCCAAGTGTTTTCAGGCTTCCAAAGCCAAATGGTGTTGCCCTTTGTGTAGGTAAATCCTCAGTGTGGTTTAGAAACACGAAAACTTTTACCAGATGCAGTGGAGGTTCTGTGACAGATCTAATGTTCCTCAGTTGTTTCCTGAGATGTGCAGGAGTACAGGCAGACTTCTGCCTTTCTTTTGAGATGGAAATAAGCTGGTCTTAGAGTTGAAGAATTTCAGTAGCCAAATCTTGTTTGAAAAAACAAATGCAGTTACCCTCTTCATGATTCAGTGCCAGCTTATGTGTTCTGCTGTCATCTCTGGGAGCTCCTCCTGTACCACCCTGGAAAAGCAAAGAACTGACTAGAATCAGCCAAGACACCAACCTTGATTTTTTCCTGTGTTCTTTGTCTCCAGTATGAGAGCTGAAACCATTCTGCTCCTTTCCACAGCACTACTCCTGGTGTTATTATACCAAATGTTGCTAGAACTGACTTCTGAATTAAAACATTTACTGCATAATCTACAGTGACCTAAGTCAGCCTTTCTCAGCATACATGGAGAAGATTTTAGGCTGCTTCAGAGGTGAATCTACAAGATTTTAATACTTATATTACTTACTATAATAATACTCATATTTAAAACACAGAAACAGACACCACTGTGTAGAACTCTTCCTATTGTGAGCAGATGAGTCTTAGGTCAGCATCGTAAGTAACACCAAACCTCATCAGATGTTCACAATATTGCTTGTCATACTTTTGGGGAATGGAAGGTATGGTAGTTTTCTTCTGGTCAGAGCCATTACTAGACTAGTTTAATTTCAGTTTATCTTTTTATCCTTCTGTGGTCTCTTTATTTATATTAGGAGTTGATGGCCAATCTGTTTTCCAAGGCAGGAGGCCGTAGCAGCTGAGGGCAGAGGCCCCTGAGGGTGGCCAGTGGCCTCTGCAGCGAGGGAGTCCAGCTCCTGCCGCAGCGGGTCTCGGTGTGGCTGCGCTGGGGGGCGGAGGCCGAGCAGCTGCTGGAGGGGATTGGGAGAGCAGCAGCAGCTTCCACGCTGGGGCGAAGGCGAGAGGTCAGTGTATATGCAGCATTTTGCAGCCTACACCTTAATTTTGTAATCTGACTCAAGGCAATAAACAGCCAGCAGCCACATCTAAAAGAACTTAACAGCGAAAGGCTGGTTTAAGTGTAGCTCAAGTGTCTAAAGATGGAAAACCTGGTACCAGCCTACTGGGAAAGTTGATCTTTTGGGGAGAGCCTCTCTCCCCTCCTGGAGGTAGAGCAGCTTTCATAAGTCATGATGAGGTTTGCTTGCTTCACAATATATGAGCCACTTTAATTTTTGCCTATGTACTAGAAGCTTGCACTACTGGGAAAAACAAAAACAATCCATCCACATCAAGTACAAATCACTGGCTATTAGTGGCTGCTGCAACATTGTTCTTCAAATGACTTTTATGAAAAATTTTGTATTAAATGTAGATAATCAAAATCTATACTCAGTTTTTATTTACAATCATAGTACTTTTATTTTTTCCATAATGTAACTTATTCCAAGTCCTCCCCCAATCACTGGTGCTGCAGTGTTGACGTTCAGTAACTCTATACAATGATAGTACAGACTGCTGCTTCCGTGTAAGCCAGCTGGCTTCCAAATGTTGCCTGTGCATCATGAATTGTGTACAGAAATGGGAGATTCTCCACAAGCATCTGGAGTGTTTCCTGAAACACTGTTGTGGCAGAAGGAGGCTGTTCTGGGGTACAGATCAGACATTCTGTTCTCCCAGTAAGGAGAGGAGTGGATCTGTCTGATACACCAGGAGAAAAGAAAGTAAAAAAAATTCTGGTATTTATTAATTACCTGATTACAATAAACTATAAATTTGCAGAGGAAGAATTCTTGCTGGAGTTACTGGAACTCCCAACTCTTTAAGCATATCACCTTTACTTGAGGTGCAACCTCTTTGTGGTAATTGACTTAAACCTCCAAGTGATGCGTGTATGGGGAGAAAAGGAAGAAGGGCTTGCATACTTAACTCTGTATTCTATATTTAAAAAAGCTAAACAATTTGTATATCCTTTTCATTATCAAAGTATATTTTCTCTTTCAAAGTAAACTGGTTTCTTCAGGAGGATTCATTTTTAATAACAGCTCAGTGCTCTAACCAGGAGCCCGTAATCCAAAAATCACTCTTTTCTGCAGAAAGGTGTAAGAACTACAGCTTATCCTCTCTCATTATAAAGCCAAAGCAGCACTTAAAGCCTTCTGTTCTATTACGTGTCTCTAAAACATCTTCTCCCATGCAACTGCTGTCGGACTTCAGATGGATGCAGGGGTTAGTACTGTCACGAAAGGGAGTGACTTCTCTCAGCCCTGTCAACACTAGCATCTATAGACAAAATCATTGTTTAAAGCTCTAGTACATCACAGAATTGTGCTGATATTGGTATTTTACAACTAATGCAACATCCAGTAATTCACATGTAATCTTAAAAATTCAAGACTGGGATACTAACTAAAGAAACCACTAACATGAAGTTTTCTTATCTGGCATGGAAGAAGAGGAGGGATAGTTTAGATAACATTGTAGAGATTGGGCAGGAACAAAAAGAATTTATTTCTCCATCCATTATTTTATACACTTTACAAAAACCAGGAATATCACTGTGCCCATAAAAATGTTATCCATGGCAACAGAAAGCAAATACTACTTTTTGTCATCTAACAGGGTCTTTTTAAAATCATAATACAAAGATTTGTGCTGTAGCAGTCCTCCACTTTGCACTGTAACAATAAGGCTTACTGTACTTTAAATACGAAGCTGTTACATCTGCAGTTATGAACCACTGGCTTTAACAAACATCATTTTATAGTTGCTTTTTGCTTCTTTTTTGTTTTCTGGAACCTCAGCTTCATCATGTTTTTCAGCAGCTTGTAGCTCCTCTGCAGACTCCTCTTGCTCTGACTCAGAGCCACTTTCTGAGTCCTCTGAACTCTCTTCAGAGGAGTGTCCAGCTGCCTCTTCTTGTTCATCACTTTCCTGAAACTAGAAGTTCAGATTACGAGACAGATAAACCATTATTTCCTGGCAACTCCATTGCAGCTTTTAAAATTTCCCACCGAGAATGTTTTGCTTAATGGCTCCTTGAATTTTAGTACTAGAATGGGCTATGTTGCTAAATACAGGTCTCTAACACAATTATTAGCCTGAAAGCAACTCCACTGAAGTAGTCAACCATACCAACTCTGACATCCATGGGTTCATCACCACATTCTGATTTAGTTACAGCAGAAATCCTAAAGGCACTACTAAATGAGTCTGAAAAGTTCCAGATCACATCAGTTTTGTAACTCCTTACTTCAGTGTACACAGTACATAATTACACTTGAGTGTTTGTCATGGACTAACAGCTAGACCATCAGGAATTCACATTCAGGACTGATCTCTGAAGTTTGATCTTTAAGTTTAGCACACTGCAGCATGAGCAATGTTGAAGTAATCCAATGATACTGCTAACGAGCAATCCCAAAATGGCATTTTGTTCATAGTCCTAAACAGCAAAGCCTCCATGGCTGTAATACTAAGAAGTCCCAGCACTGCACAGGTGGTTTTATTTGCTTTGGAAACATCAGTTTTTATTCAGTAATTGGTGCTAAAAGTTAGCAAAAAATTAATTATTGCACCTTTCAATTGGCAGATGAAGACATGTTCCTAATAACCTAATTCTCCTGAGTAGTGTTGTACTTCTATTCCTGCTCATTCCTCTGAACTCCTTGCAAGAGGACTGCACAGCTCGTTTCCCTTCTCTGACCCCTCTACAGCCACTTACTTCTCAGGACCACAGGGAGGTATGTGCCTCACTGCAAGGAGAGCTAAGCTCTCAGCAACACTGCAGATCATTATCCTGCCCCCTCAGGCACTCCTTGGCAACACCCACATTTAATATACGTGTCACTCTGTCCTACTCAGTCTTGCCTACTACGGAGCATTAAGCATGTCACACACCACTTTTCAGAACAATGAGAAGCATCAACCATTTCCAGGTGTCTAAAAGGCCACCACAGTGTACACAAATGGGGGGCGAGTGCCTGCAGTAAATTTGTCCTTTAACCCAAACTGCAGAAGTTTGCCCCTAGTTGTGGTGATTGGATTTTTAAACGACATATCATCCTTAGTGACGTGAAAGCCAAATCATTATGGAAATAAACAACTTACTACCTCACTGAAACCAAGTCCACAGTGGCGCCGGTTTCGTCCGGACATCGTGCTGTCCATGCTTTGCTGGTACTGAGACTCCAATTCTTCATTCATTTTCTTGTCTTCTTCCCCTGCATTGTCCAGTGTACTTTGATTATGGTTCATTCAAATTAACAAAGACATCAAATTACATGAAGTCACATTTTCAAAGTTTATCAATAGATATGTGAAAAAGTTTAAAGTTAGCCATCTTAAACTACTGCACTGAGTGTTACTGCATACAAACCATCAGATTTATAAGCAAGCCTATCAAGTGTGCAAGCAAAACTGCTTTGATACAAAGATGGCTTAGTAAATTCCTAAGACCTGATGCATTCAGCGAGTTGTACCATGCACAATGTATGTTCTACTAAACCAGGTAAATGGAACCAGTGTGACTTCTCTGTGCTTCCTGACAATACTGTGACTTAGTGTCACACTAAGGAGACAGTTTCTGATCTTTACTACATAACGTGTGATTACTACGATTAAACCAGGATTAATATATAGCAGCAGAAGTCAGGACAATACTACCACTCTTGTTCATAGAGCTGTATCTGAAACTACATCACGCATCCTCAGTTATCAAGAGCAGTTACTACAGCTCTACATTTTTTTGTCTTTAGGAATTAGCAGAAAAAATAATTTTCCTGAGCTATTTCTACATGCCCCTTACTTATTTAAGTAAATAATTGTTTTTACTTGAGGAAAATATGGTTCAAAATAGTTAAGCATCCTCTCTTCTTGTAGAAGGTAGGAATCTCTAATTCTCCTAACAGGTCTACAACACTCCGGTTTTTAATTTATATCTCTGTAAATTAAAAGCTTGTATTGCAAATTAATGTTTCCTCATTTGGAAGTGAGAGACGTATGTTATTATAAAAGGACAATAAGTGTATGCTGGACAGGAAAGTAAAGTGTTAAGAAAACAGCTGTTCTGATTTTTTGTGAAAAAAACAGCATCTTTTTGCAAATAACAAAGCAGTACTGATTCTTATGACTCCTTAAGGGGAAGCATCTTCTCCTTTCTAGGAGATTCAGGTAAAGGGAGAGATTCTCAGTCACTTTGCAAGCCAATGGCAGAACCTGGAACCAATCCTCAGGTTTCTTTTGGTATTTTGGTCCATAGATTATTTTTTCTCAACTGAATAATCTCTAGCGGAGTATATCGGGGAAAGGTTTTCTGGAATTCTGACAGCTGCTGTTCTATACAGCTTTATCAAAGTTTCTCTCAGACAGTCAAGCCCAGCTTGGTTTTGATGTACTTTGACTTACTACCTAAGCAAGCATGATAAGAAATTACCAGGGTGGCATGTTAAATGACATCAAATTATTGATGCTAAGATGACCTTGCAGATCTTTTCAGCTTCCACCTCGCTGCTTTAAGGCAGAGATCTTTCTGTTCAATAGGTGATCAGGTAGGGGAAAGAAATCAACCCTGTTCTTTTCCAGGGACAACAAATGAGAGGTTTGGATATCCATACCTGGCAGCAAGGAAGTAGCATAATACTGCTAGGTACCAACAGCAAGAAAACTTTACTTTCTTATTTTGATAGCACAACAGGACTGAGGACCTACAGGCTCTGATTTCCAGGGCATTTGTACACAAGCTTAACTGACCATCAAGTACTTTGCTGAGCCTGGACTTCAGAGGACAAGAAAGTGCTGTCAGAGAAATTTTTTATCAGTAATGTAACAAGAAATTTGGAATTCCCACAATTCCACAGCCTGACTGGTCTTCAACTTCAGCCACAAAACCTGAAATCCCTCCCTGCAGTATCTGTGAAGCTCAAAGTACTGGGATGTTCCTAAGTAAGTGTTTGATTTCCAACTTCGTATCAGCTGTTGGATAAACTGACCTGTCCTGAAGTGAGAGGTTGATCTGTGGTCTCCGATAACAAGGCGGCCAGTATGTTCTTTCTAAAAGAAAAGGCAGTTTGTTTTGCAGCTTTAGGGTACACTGACAGCTCTGCCAACATTCTGGAAATCTTGAATGGAAAAGGTTTGCTGTCAAACCTTGACAACCAACTGTAGGACTGTAAATTTGCTATCTAGCAACTGCTGCCTCTTTGTTTTGTTGAATTTTCT